CCCCGTCCCCGCCGGACCGCGCGGGCGCCTCCCGCGCACGGCCCGGTGCTGTGGGGCCGGCTGGGGCCGAAGCGCGCGTTCTGTACTTTGTTAGAATGTCATTCGGGACCTGCTGACACCTGTGTCCGAGTCACGCAGCGCCACCGTTTGTAGCTTTTCAGCTCCAGTTCAAGTAAGAAAATCACCTTTCGCTGTGCTGAAAGTTTACGAACAGCAAATCCATTTTTCCTTAGGCCTTTTCGTGTCTTTCCGTTACTTAATATTTCTTGAAGCTGGTTTTAATTGGTTGCAGGTAACTTTTTGAGGACTGTGCTTTTAGTACTCTACCACTCTGACGTTCAGACTCCAACTGTGGTATACACAAAATACTAGCTTTTCATAATAATTGTAGAGTATTGTTAAGAGTCTCGTTAAGATTTAGAAGTAAAACGTTAAAATTACCTTCCTTAACGTAACAAAAAAGTTTGACCCTGACTGAATACCACTTTGGTGAGAGAATCAAGGTTTTTTCTCCCATTTGCAAAGCACAAAGACAACCTGACTCTATCTGGTGGAAAAAAAGATTTGTTATGAAGAAAAATAAATGATTTTAAGTTCTGTGTACCTAAGGTGCTTTTTTTATTTTTATATTTTTTAATTTTAAAGAATAAAAAATAACAGACAACAAAACAAAGAACAAAAATGGTACAGGGTTTCAAAACAAGGATAGGAATTAACAGTGGTTGTGATACTACTATTATCTTCAACGAAGTTACCCAGATTACCAGATGTAAGAATGCAAGATTGATCAAACTATTAAAGAGAATAAAAAAAATTAGAAACGATACAGCGCTTCACTAGACAGGATGGTAGGAAGTCACCAATGGAGGTTACATTGCATATGGGTGTCTTTAAATTAGTTGTTCAAATTACTAGATAGAAACGTGTAAAATCGGTCAAAAAAATTAAGCATAAACTGTTCTTTCAGTAAACCATTAGACACCTAAGATGCTTTTGTGTACCACCAAACAAGCTAATCTTCCCCCTACTATTTTCGTTGTTAGGCTCACCCCAAATACGCGTTTGGGGATTGATCTGGAACCTGCCTGTTGTGCATGAATCTCATTTAGATTGCGCTCGAGTTAGGTGGTGGAGCCACAATGCTGTTGCTCTCTTTACCAGCATTTGATCAGTGGCACTAGGCATTGAATATTGATGAGAAATTTAAGTCTGTATCTCTAACAGTTACAGGGATAAGTATGTACTATATACACATTTTTTTCGAGAGAAAAATTATTTTATTCCACCCAGAGTGCTTTAAAGGGAAGGAGGATATATAAGGCTAGGTAGAAATCACTTGATTAGTAATTAGTCAACTACAGATTGGTTTTACTGATCATGTATTAAATTCGAAAGTCCTAAAAATAACATCTCATTATTTTGAACAGTTGCTTTTGTCATGCTTCATTGAGTACATTGGCTCAAATTAACACTTGTGGGAATGAATAAACTATTAAGAAATAAGTGTCCCTAAGGATTTACAACTTCGCACATAAATGTTAAAATATGGAGAAGGCTCAGAAATGTTTTGGAAGGTATCTACAATCTGGTTCATTTGTCTTAAATTTCCATGCCTGTCTAGTGGAAAGACTTTAAAACTTTAGAACAACAACGTTTAGGGAGGATTTATTCCACTTTTATATAAAGGCTACCTAGTTAACTCTGAGATGTTATCCTGCCTTATCAAAAGTTTTTCTTCTTAGTAATTCATTACGTCTTACCATTATGATTTTCAGCACTTTTTTTTCTGTGAAGATTCCCTAGAAATTGGTTTAGTGAAATGCTTTCTAATTTTACTTCTGAAGCTTTTCCTATGTGTATATGACAGATGATCAGAGAAAGTGAAAAACGTATTGCGAAGGGTTAATTATAAAATAAGTAAAATATGGAATGTGTTTGATTTCATATCTTTCTCCGACTGTCTTGAAGGTGTTTTTGTTTTGTGAAGAGATTTTTTTGTAATAGCAGTCACAAATTGGTTTTGCTTGCTTTGATTCCATAAAGGTAAATAAAGTTTAAATATTAGGAGCAGTTTATCATTATCCAATTTTTTTCAAGTTTGTGAAAAGATAGCCTATACTATGATTAAATACTATAAAGAAATCAGGAAAAAACATTGGAAAGCTCTTCATCAACAATTTAGTTTTCCTTTTGGTCATCCTATATTTTAAAATGTCATTTTGGTTACATACACTGTTGGGTTATTCTTTCAAGAACCTACTGGAAAAGCTAATTATTCACTGGTTATTCTTCCAAACACCTGCTGGAAAAAAGCTAAAAGCTAATTATTCATTTACCATCATGGGTTTTGTAATGAAAGAAATACTCATTAGATTTATGTACTGCCAGTGTGTGTATTAGTGTCTGATAAGGAAGTGCGCTTAAAACATTAACCTGAGTTAAATCAGAGGAATATGGTAGTGATTTGTATTTTCCTTTAAAGAGCTTCTGATGGTTCCTTGCATAAAAGTACTCAGATTTGAATGTGAAATCTCAGTCTAGCCAGACACACATTATAAGCCCTTAAATTGTGCACTGGCTGAAAAATGAGCTTTTTAGTAGGCAGTATGATCTTTAGTAGCCAGGTATGAAATCTTGTCCCTTAAAATGACCCATATTACTGGGTAATTGTCTTTACTCAAATAATGACATTGTTTTTCATAATTGATAATTGAATCAAGTTCAGGCAATTGAGGTCTATTAAAATAGACTCCATTAACAACTTTCTTAATGTTTATGGAATATAGTCAGATTTTTTAACATTTTAGAACCAAGTCATAATGAATGTTAATTAGGGTACTTCACTCATTATGTTTTATGTTTATTAATAAGTCTCCTTGATTTTTTTCCAGAAAGTATATAAAAGAACCCATTTCCAGAGGTCCTGAACCATAGTCTAAAGCTTTCGCTTTCTTTTTTTCCGGTCCCGGGAATTGAACTCACGACCTTGCCTATGCCAGGCAGGCGCTGTGCCGCTGAGCTAAATCCCCAGCCCTAAAGCTTTTGCTTTCAAGTGTGAAGTGTTCCTAACTGGGAATTAAAATCCATATTTATGAAGATATTATTATTCTGTGGCTTTGTCTGGTCTCTGACATCCTTGCCTGTACCCATGTTCAAGATGCAAGAAACCTGTTATATCTGCCATGAAGATTTTTCTGTTTGTTTTATTTTAAAATAAATATACCTTAAAATATCTTTAAAATTATTTATGCATTACTAGACAACTCCTTTTTTAAGTATTTCCCTAAGGCATTGCTTATATGAAATAGTTGATACGGTGCTAACCGTGAAGTTTTTAATAACCTCAAAAAATGTTCACTAATAATATTTACTCATTAAAATGTAGGATATAAGCATGAGTATTGGAGAATACTTCTGCTGCAGTAAGTCAGGGTTGTAAAAGATCGAATCTCAGTGTGGTAAGAATAAAAAGTTAGATGCAAGAGTTGGAAGATAGTGAGATACGCAAACACTTCTTTCTTATATAGCATCAGGAAAACTGAAAACTAGCTTCCTGTCTGTCTCAACCCATGTTCCTCAATCCTCAAATCACCTAATAAAGCTGTGCTGGGTGTTTTGTGGCTTGCCAGCTTTCCTATTCTAATAGTATCTACTCATGCAACATAGGCTCATCCCACCTTCCAATTTAGAATTCTGTGGACATCCTGGACATCCTGTGGTCAGCGTGTTGCCACTTGTGTTTCTCATGATCACCACTGATAGCACCTGCCTGTTCCACACCTGTGCTCATGCTGTATGTGGGAACTAGTGGCGAGCTGTTTACAGAGTTGGCCCAAACTAGCAAGAGATGTGACCTCTCCTTGGCTTGTTTTGGGTTTTAGAAGAGAATGACCTGACAGTTACTCAGCAAATAGGTTCAGTATGTAAGTTCAATGGAATACTGCTGTAAGATCTATTGAATAAAAAGTTCACATCATTGCTGGAATGGAAAGTATCGTGAGTGACTCAACTACATTCTGTGTTAAGTAACAAATCCAGGAGTATTTATGTGTATCCCTTTTGTTCTACCAGGTCATTATCTGTTAAATAGGATCATGTTTACTGAGTACTATATATAAAAGCCAATATATTTCTTAATTAGATGTGGAAGTAATATAAGAGTGCCGCTATAAATGTATTACATTTCAGATTTTTTTCCATTAATTTATTAAAGTATTGTTGCTTTATAGCTAGCCACCAAATGATAGGAAATAGTAACATGCCAGTTCAGGAAAAATGGCTATTAAAATTTTGTATTTTTCCCCCATTATATATTCTCATTTATAGTTAATATAAATGTGGCATATGTGGTATTACCCATTATGAAGGGAGTGAGGGCAAAGTGGGTTAATGGTATTGTGTCTGTGTGCTCCAAAAAGTTCATGGTAGAGTTGGAGATCTCCCTGATACATATTTGAGGGAGAAAAGCCTCCAGAAGTTAAACTTAGTTTTGTGTATAATATATTAGAACGAAGGCATTAATAGCCCAGCTTTTTATCCCACAATCATAGATAGACTTTTTTGTTTGCTTGTTTGTTTTTCTTCTGGTGCCAGGAATCAAACTCACGACCTTGTGCTTGCCAGGCAGGCGCTGTGCCACTGAGCTAAATCCCCAGCTCCGATCATGGGTAGACTTAACACAGCAGTATTTCTCAATCAAACCTCAGAAGTACACTTCTGAGTAACAGCTGTCTCCACCCCACTTGCTGCCCTACTCCTTCCCGTCAAAGAGACAAAGCTAAACCATATGAAAGCAGTGTCTGTAGTTTGTCTTTCCTTCACCTTGCTCAACACAGCTGACAGGTACTCGTCGAAAACACTTGCTTCAAGTCCACATTCTTTCTTCTGTGGTCTCACTGGTCCTTGTGGTCTCTTTTGCTTGTTGTCTTCCTGACTTGGAAGTGCACTTAGTAGAGGCCCCTAGAGCTGATATCCAGGCTGTGTTCTCCAATTGCTGTGGTGTTTGCATACCACTAACACTTAGAGGTATAGTCCTACCCTGTTGAGTTCAGTTTAGCCATGTTGACTATAACATTTACTCAAACGAAGCTTTATATCGTATGTTTATATGTTAATGTGTGTAAAAGATTTTGTAAGGTTTAACTGTTTCAAATTATTCAAATATTCAAGCTCAAAGCCTACAAATTGTCTTGAGAGAGCTCCCCTGTTAGTCTGTACATCTCCATCTGCCCTGCCTCACAGTTCGTCCTCTGCTATCTCTTCTACGACTGCAGATGCCTTCCCAAACCACAGTCAGCTCTTGGAAAGCATGTCTTTAAGTTACTCCTATACCCATTCTTCACACCACAGACATAACCGAAAATGTGAATTATATTTCACAGTTTAAAAGTTCTGTAAGTTTTCGGGGCCTTGTGTGGTCTGCCCCAAGTGTGTTTTCTTGCTGTGAACCACTGAAGCAGGATAACTTGATAAAGAAGACATTGCTTTAGCTCACAGTTCTGAAGGCTGAAGTCCACACACTTTGGTGCTGTCTCTGCCTAGGGCCTGAAGGCAATGGCGAGGGTACATGTGGGAGGACGCAAACATCTGGCCTCTGTGGTCCCTCTGTCCCTGAGGGCACCCCCACCTGACCTAAGGACCTCCCACCAGCCTGTGCCCCTTAGCAGTCTGTCCCGTGCCCTTGGCATCTACCCATGAGCAGTTGTGTTTTTGGCTTAAAAGTTTCTTTTAAAATGAAAATGGCAGGGTTATTAAAAGTAAAATTTATATCATAAATTAAAGTAAACATTTGCAGAAGCTTTTTGGAAAATAGATTGCAATATTGTTAAGAGTTCTAAATGTTATGTCCTTAGATCTAGTTTACAGTTACTAATTTTAGTTACTAATTCAATTACTATGGAAATAGATTGTGAGAATTATTTCAGTATTGCTTAAGGAAATAAAAAATTGAGGCCAACATAAGTGTCCAATAGGGGAATTCTTAAATATTGTCTATTTTTTTATGCTCCAGAGATACATACCTTTTCCACTGCAAGTTTATTTATGTACAACAGTTTTCAAACACACCAATCCTGGAGAGGAGTTCTAATTAGAATGATGTAAAAATGTTATTTTAATGTTTATTTTTGCTGAAACATTGCTGTGAACTTTAGATTCAATGCCTTATTTAATAATTTGGCTTTTAGGAATAAAAATGAAAAGACTTTTGAAAGACATCTTTAAAAACCAGTTGCTTTAGATTTTGAAAGTTTTCAAATTAAAGAGCTTACTTAGAATTTACCTTTCCTGGCCTGATTGTTCACCTGTAGTACTAAAATGGCTTCTAAATGAATCAATATTTATATAATTTTAACACTTTAGGATGAAATAATGGTATTGTAAAGAGTTGTTAATTTATAAAAATCTTGTTGTGTTTATGGTTTTTCTGGCATTCATGAAGCTAAGCCTACATTTTTTAGAAAATGTTTGACTGTTTGATGAGGGCCCACTTGGCTAAATGACCTGGCTGTAAACCCAGTAGGGGTAGGAACTCACTATTTCTGTCCTTTGTTGAATTCCTTCCAGGGCTGATTTCCAGAAGGTCTGTGTAAAAACCATCATGGTCTCCTGTGTTTTGGCCAAGAGAGACCTGAGTGCTGTAGGCACACTGTTGGCATTCAGTTCTGCCTTGTTCTTAGTAAGTCTTACTGTGGAATGCTGTCTCTTTTTCAGAGTGCTGCAGAGGTAGGAGCACAGGGAGAAATGATCTGGATAACATGAAAGTGATGCTGCTGGCCAAGGGACGCTGGCTTGATTCTGAGGGAAGGGCTACCGCTGGTCCCACCGTTGTCTAGGTAAGCTGCCCTCAAGGACCTCAGCTCTTGACAGCCAAATTTAGGCATAACTAGAGCATGATTTTAAGTTTCTGCCTAAGGAAAATAGATTATTTGAAAAGGCAGATACTGTGCATGAATTGATACTTCGTGTACAAGAGTTAATATGGAGTGATTAATTGAACCCAAGCCAAAGTTTGAGTCTTTTTACTCAGTTGGTAAAAAATGTGTGGGCAAGACCAAACTGAGTATGGAGGCAAGAATGTCGCTGAACATTTAGAGACTCTGAGGATTTCAGCTAGACCAGTGGCGGTGAGCCTGTGGCATGCGTGCTGCAGCAGCCTGTTTGTGTCCCTGGAAGTTCTAAGAGGTTGGCCTTCACTGCGTAGACCACGGATTGTAATCCAGTATATTGTCCTTGCCGACTCTTAGATACTGTATTCTGAGATTCTGCTCATTCATTCTGTCTGGACAGAAAATAGCCCATGGTATGTTCAAATAGCAGGTAAAACCACTTTCTTCTATTTCAGAAGAAGGTCTAACTCCATATTGTTGGAAACAATTTGGTCAGTAATGAATATATGCATTTGTTTAATACTGTGAAAAAAATCCAGCAAGAATTAGTGTTCCTGTTTTTCAGTGAATATAGTTTAAATGCTTGTAAAAAGTGTTTAGAAAAACTAATTCTTAGATTAAAAGTCTTGTGAGTCAGTTGCTAAGCCACTAAGAAGTAAATACCTATATGAAAGTATCAGAAAATACACCAAAAAATAGAGTTTTGCTGATAGACACCTTCAAACAGATTCACTTTTATTCTGTGTAGTAAAAAGTACTTTTTTTTTAGAGCAGTCAGGTTTTTGTAGATTATTCATCAAATTCCAAATAATGCATCTAAGCTATAAAAGACAGTATTTGAAACCTGAATTCTCATTGCTATTTCACATAAAGGACACTGTGGGCAAATAGCTGTGGGGGCTCTTTTGGGTGGGGTAGGCACGGGACAACTCACGTTTTTCCTGTCTGGAAATAAGTTCCAGACCCTGACCTGGAGCCTGTTCCTGCACAGATTTGAGTATGAGCACAGAGGAAGAGGACTCTGACACAGTGACAGTCGAGACTGTGAACTCTGTGACGCTGACGCGAGACACTGACGGGAACCTCATCTTCCACTGCCCTCGGCATGGTAGGAGAGTGCAGCCCGCGATCTGCTGGCCTGGATAGCTGGATTCCACATTGCTGTCCACCCTGCGATCCAGGCAGACGGTGCACCCGAGAAGCGGGGAGGAGATGATCTCTGAATTGTGCACTGATCTTAATTCATGGTTTCTATTTTTATAGTTGTAAAATATTCTCTAATATCTTTAAATTTCCCATATAATTTCCCTGTTTTATAAACAGGACCTTTTTGGGTTTTCAGATGTTAATGGACTCACATATGCTTCTGTATACCTTTAGATGACAGCATTGTACTTAATATGTCAGAAAATGTAGAAATACTTTTGCCAATACTGATGGACTTTTGTTGTTGGAAACTTAAAATTTTTACAAAACTCTCTTAAGGTTTTATATGATCATCTGTTGTCATTTAAGATTCAGAAGCCTTGAGGTTTGTGAATTTATTACTTCTTATCTACTCTTTTTTTCATTCATGTATTCATTTATTTTGCTTTAAGTTCATCTTTACTAATCTAGTTCTGTTGTCTTCTTTCATGATACATATATCTATCTCCTGGGTTGTTTCATTCAGTTTGGCAGAGATTGGTTGTTGCTGGTTATTGTTTTTTGTAGTACTGAGGATGGAGCCCAGGACCTTCACACAGAGCTACATCCCCAGCTCTTTTTTATTTTTTTACTTTGAGACAAGGTCTCCCTGAGTTTCCCAGGCTGGCCTTGAACTTACAGTCCTCCTGCCTCAGCTTCCCATAGTGCTGGGATTGCAAGCATGTGCTACCATGCTCCTGTGGTCATCTTAAATTTCACATATCTAAAACAGTTCTTTCACACACTTCCTAATACTACTTTACTTTTTTTCCTTTAAAATAAGTGTCCCAAATCATAAATAGGAATAAGTTCTCTTATCTTCCATAGTTATTTCATCATGAAGACTTACTGATAATCTGATGTTTTTCATCTTTTAAGTCCCCTTTTTTAAATTGTTTTTTCTTATTTCAGTAGTTCTAATAGTGTTTAGGCCAGTCTCCCACCTCTAATTGACCTTTCAGATTGCTGACAAAAGTTGGTCATGGCCCCAAGAGTGTAAGATGTTTTTAAAGCTTCCTGTGTTTTCTCTTTTTTTTTTTTTTTGGTTTTTCTCCGGTACCAGGAACCGAACTCATGACCTTGCACTTGCCAGGCAGGCGCTTTGCCGCTGAGCTAAATCCCCAGCCCTGCTTCCTGTGTTTTCAATGGCTCTGTGCATACGCTCCTGCTGCCAAGAGGAATAATCACTTCCCTGGCTTCCCTTCTCTTCTAGGTTAAGCTCCCACTTTCAGCAAACCTTCCTGTGCCTCCAGTCTAAACTATGTACACCTCTCTGTGCACGCACAGCACCTCCCCGATCCTCTCGTACCTCTCATAGTGCTATTTTGAAATTGCTGGCTCAGCCATCTCCACTGTGCCCTAGGTTTCTTGCAGCCACGGTAGCCTTTGTTGTCCTAGTCCCACTATTGGCGCATACTTGGCTTGCATACGTATTGTGAATAAATCAGCTGCGCAACCCTTGTCCGTGTAGAAGAGTGGGAAGCAGATTTATAGTGGTCATAGAGGAAGTGGTGTCTTTTAAGTCCTTTTGCACAACCAGACCGTGAGCTAATGTAGAAGAAAAGTGTTGCAGTTCTTACTAGTTGATTTTGTTTTTTTATTGGTTTGAAGTTTTGAGATTTTTCTTTGGTTAACTGCTTTTTTCCTTCCGTTAGAAGCTGATGAGTTAGACTCAGAAGACAGTACTGACCCTCCGCACAAGAGGCTGTGTTTGTCCTCAGAGGATGACCAGAGCATTGATGACTCTGCTCCTTGCATATCAGTCGTTGCACTCCCACGTAAGTCAGTGTGCTATGAGCCCAGAATTCCCCTTTTAAAATCACATTTAAGCTTGCAAGAGACTGACTTGGCATTTCTAGGTAGACTTGGACTCTTTATTTTTCATTTAGTCCAAAAACCTCTTTTTAACTAATTCTGTGTGCCAGACAGCTCTTGAGTCATTGGTGATGAACCTGTGGCAAACGTGCTACAGCGGGCGGTTTGTGTCATTGAAAGCTCTCACAGGTTCCCAATCACTGCTCTAAGTGCTTCTAACTGTATTGCCTATTTAATCTTCTTACCTTTGTAAAAATTCTCAGCCTCTTACAGGGTTCATGAGGAATCTTTAGACGTCTTTTTTGGCCCATTATACTCTCTTCTATGTGTTTTTTAAATGTACTATTTGTACATCATTGTTTTGTTTGTAAAGAGTAAGATTTAAGCCAGGCAGAGTAGTGCATGTTTGTAATCCCAGCACTCTGGAGGGTGAGGTGAGAGAATTACAAGTTCAAGCCCAGTGCAGGCAATTTAGGGAGTTAGTGAGACCCTATCTGAAAATAAAAATTTAAGAAGGGGGAGCTAGGGATGTAGCTCATTGTAAAGGCCGTGGGTTCAGTCCCAGCACCACAAAAGGAAAGATTTTTTTTCCTCACTCCTCCAAGACCCGTATTTACCCTGAATAGGAAAGCATGCTGTGCGATAGGTAATAGTATTATCATTCCTGTTTCTTAGATTGGTAAAGTGAGATGCAGAGATAGAGTAACTTTTTAAAGATCATATCCAAGCATTCTGGGTATACTCCTAACCCTGGTGTTATAACTGCCTCTTCGATATGGTACATGACTACATGGACCTGAGGTGTAAATGGCTAAGTCATTTATTCTCACTCAAAAGTTTTACTTTATTTTATTGCATTACTGGGGATCAAACCCAGGGCTTTGCAGATGATAGGCAAATACTCTACCACTGAGCTACATCTCTGGACGCCCCTCAAACATCTTAACGTGTGTCTGTTCCAGTGTATTTAAAGTAGACTAGATTTTAGGGAAATAAAACTCTTACGTGGAATAACACTGGCAAAAGACTGTAACATACCGTTTGCAACATCGGATTACTTCTGATGTGCATAGCAGAGTATAGAAGCCTGTTGAAGAGTGGTAGCTCTGCAGAGCCAAGATGGACGCTCTAGGCCCTGGCTGTGAGTGGATGTAGGACTGCTGCTGGCGTGAAGAAGAGCTTTGCTGTATCTGAATACTGACGGTGCACATAGCATCCAGCGGGGCACATCTTTCTCTAGTGGAAAACAGACGGGGTGTGCAGCGGGGAGAACGACAGTACACGTAGCATCCAGCAAGGGACATTCTCATCTAGAGGAAAACAGAGTTGGCAAAGTGATAATGTTAGTATTGCTTCCAGATATGGCAGGTACATAATTGTTTTTTGTTTGTCATTTTTAGCACAACATGTTTCTAATTAAATGAACTCATCCTAATGATTTTTCGTGTGTATTTTCAGTTCTGGCCTAATAAGACTGCTATTATGTTTTGACTTTAAGCACTTGACTACTCTTGTTGTGCACATGTCTGTATGTGAATATTTTCCAAAATAGAATTTTTGAGTGATTATTGTGGTATAAATTGTGACTAGTTGATTCATTTGGTTAAAGTAGAGTACCTTGTTCATGATCAAATGTTCAGACTATTGTGTTCAGCAGACTCCTTCACACCCTCATCGTTTACCTATGATAACATAGGTATGTTAACACAGAGGCACCTGAGCTGTTCGGAACACAGTCCAGATTCTAATTCTTAGCATAAAACTGATTTTTTTTTTTTTTTGATTATCGTTTTACATATTATTATCTACAAAATAGTTTCTCAGGAAAACAAATAGACAAATAATAGTGAGTTAGAGACAAAAGAGGTAGGAGATTATCAAGAGTTTTTGTGCTATACTTTGGTATCTTCAAAGTGGCTTCTAAAGAAAATAAATAGAGCTATACATGAGTGACCTATTGAAAAATCATTAACTATTCTCAATGGTTGTTGTAGGAAACACATAATAATAAACATACATCCATTTATGAAATAGGATAGGAACATTACAAACTTAACACAGTTATGGATAGATTAGTAGGAAAATAACAATGGCTGCTGTAATACGTGGTGGTATCTTCAAAGTGGTTTCTCAGGAAGACAGAGATGTGCAAGAAGGATCTAATAAGTAGTTACAGCCTAAGGGTTGTCAAAAATAGCATATTACCTCCTCACCAGTGACTCCTTTCACTGAGGTATGATGGCTGGAAGGAAGGCCAGGATTGAAAAGAAGGACCGAGAGACTCACACCTGTGACTAGCAACAGGCTGTTTTCTTATTCCTCCATAGTCATGATACCCAGGGCTCCTCGATGGAGGTGACGGTCTGGCCAGAGGGAGAAGGCAGACCATGCCCCAAGCCCTCTCATTCCTGTTGGACTAACTGGTAGCATGGGTCTGAGCTCTGGGGCCTCCACCTCAGAGGGCAGACCGATCTCCAGTGGTCTCCTTTGCATCCAGGGCATGGCCCATGGGGCCTCTTAGGGCAGTTCCTCTTGAGGTAGCCTGGCTTTTAACAGTGGTAGCAGATGAATGCAGTTGTTGAGTTGTTCTTGGAGCCCTGGGAATCAGACCTGGGATCTGTTTCTCTTAGTGGTGTAGCAAAAGCAGCTGCTTTTTCTCAGTCTCTTTGTTTTCTCTCCTTGGCCTCCTCCTCATCATGGCTATAGAATACTGAGGAGGCAATTCTTACTAACATCTCAAGTGAGCTATCTGGGGTGAAAGCCATTCTTTGTAGCTTTTTCTCTCCAGCTTCCCATTGCTTTGGGACCCCACAACCAGTTAGTGTCCTCTCCCCAACTGTCAGCACAGGCAGCAGGAATCCTGCTGCAGACTTCTCCAGAGCTCCACCACAGCCTGTACTGTCAGGGGAAGAATGGCTTCCAGTGAGTCTCTGCAGGTATTGTGCAAGGTCCTCCTGGTTTACAGCTTCCGAGCGGCGTGACCCCAGTCCACTGGACCTCTGACTCCGTGGGCTTAGTCTGCATTCACATGTTCTCTGAGTCCTTGTTCAGCAGCTGCTCCTCCGCTGGCTCTGGACCTTTCTGGTTCCCAATGGCAGGAGCAAGAGTGGCCCGTTGTATGGCATATATTCCCAGGGCCTGTTCAAAGTTTCAATGATTCACACACATCCGTGGGTGGGTAACTGCAGTTGGCGCATGGTGGGCCAATTGTGTCACTGTTTCTCTGTGTCATGATAGATCCCAATTGAGCGGCGGCTGCCGGCCTAAGGGCCGGCGCGCAATAGCGCTCGCCGCCGCATGGCTCCCCATGCGCTGGGGGCCCACCCTCCGGGAGCCAGCAGGCAAGAAGCTAGCCAGCCAGAAGGCTGGCGCTTCCCACCCGCAGCTCCATGTGCGCCGGAAGCCCTCCTTCCGGGGAACCATGAGGCTGGGAGTGAGTCGCCGGTCCAAAGACCCAAAAAACTGGCGCTCCCCGCCCGAAGCTCCCCGTGTGCTGGGGGCCCACCCTCCGGGAGCCGGCAGGCAGGAAGCTAGCCAGCCAGAAGGCTGGCGCTCCCCACCGGCAGCTCCCTGTGCGCCGGAAGCCCTCCTTCCGGGGAACCACGAGGCCGGGAGTGAGTCGCCAAGACTGATTTTTTTAAAAAATAAGTTCAAGGTATCTGGATTTATAAAAACAAACTGTATGGAAAAAATCAACTTAAAGTTTCTGTATTTAAAAAAAGTTACATAGAAGCATTAAGTTTGCTTATCCACCCACTGTCAGTTGCCGGAATAGTGCCAGGAAGGAGCATGGTGGCCCCACACTTACCTCGGCTCAGGAGGAAATGGGGCCACATATCTGTGCAACACCTGCAAGCAGGTGGGCATCCTGTCCTGTGAGCTGTCCCGTGAGGTTAGCCCCACAGGCCCCATGTGCCCTCAGACACTGACAGGTTTACTTTCTTTATGCCCGCTAGGGCAGCCTGGTTGTTCAGTTGCCTCAGACACTAGCAAGCACTCTACTTGCACTCCCAGAATTCCTGGATCTGCTAGAGTGACCTGGCCCACACCATGCTTAGAAGCTGTGACCATCTGCCTTCCATTACTGGGCCTGCCACATGGTTAGCAAGGCCTAGCAGAGTGGCCCAGCCCCACACACCTGCAGGAGGTCCAAAGCCACTGGCAGGCCAGCCTCAACTGAGCTATATCCCAGAGGGACCAGTTGTTCCAGCCCTGGAACCTAGGCTGTGGAGGTACCTGTGGGCTCAGCTAGAGAAGCTGCACAGGCTCCAAACTGTGGCACCTGTCTGGAACCAGAACTAAAGTCACACCCAGCCAGCACCCTGGGACGCATATTTAGGAGAGAGTCTATAAAATTAGCAGAGGCCACTAATCTACCAGATTTAAAGTATGAACATAGATAGGGATGAGGAAACAAGAAAAAGCAAGGTCGCAAGATGCCTTGCAAGGAACACAAGAGCTCTTTAGCACTGACCCCAAAGAGAAGGCAACTTACGTATCACCTAGAAAAGAATTCAAAATGATACTTTTAAGAAAGCTCACCCAGATAGAAGAGAATACAGTCAGATAATTCAGCAATAGTAGGAAAATAATTTATGATCTGAAAGAGAAATTCAGCAGAGAGATACAAACCAAAGTTAGAAAGAAGGAAATATCAGAGCAAAAATAAATACGAACTAAAAAGACAATATAAAAGATCAAAACAGAGTTGGTTTTCTAGTAGATAAAATTGACACATTTTTACGTAGATTCACCAGGGAAAAGAGCAAGATCCAGACAAATTTAGAGATGAAAAAAGATGCTATAACTGATACCATACTAAAAAAATAAAAAAGAGCATTAGCGATAACTGTATTATAAACAAAACCTGGAAAAATGGGTACATGTGTGAATACATAACATTCTTGCAGAATTAACCACGAAAGCATAGAAAATCTAAACGGCCCAATAATGAATAACAAAATTGAGATACATTAGCCCAGTTGGAATGGTTATAATTAAAAAGCCAACGACAAATGCTGGCAAGTTTGCAAGAAGGGGACACCTTTGTACCCTATGGATGAGGATGTAGATTAGTACAGTGTTATGGTTTGTGTCTGGATGTCACCCCAAACCCTCACGCAGTTATGTGGTGGGCTTCTAGATTTTTGATTGATCCATAGTCCAGTGCTGGGATTATGGGTGTGAGTGCTACACCTGCCCTGGAGTGCATAGTTTACATACAGTGTAAAGGAGAGAAAGAGGCTGCTTGCTGCCTCTCCTCCCTTTTGTTCTTGCTGCTTTTGCTGTCGTCCTGTGCCCCCCACCCCCATGAACGGTTGCCCTGTGCCATGTGCCACTTTGCTTTGGAGCCAGCCACGTATGGACTCAAACTTCCATGTAAACCTTTCCTTCCTTAGTATTGGGTGTCAGGTGTTTTGTCTCAGCAATGAGAGAAAAGTAACCAAGACACAGCCACTGAGAGAACTGGAGGAGCCTCGAGGAGTAGAGCCACTGTGTGACAGAGCTGAGCCTTTGCCCAGAGTGTTTCTAGGGGAAATGAGATTGGCGAACTGGGGCAGTGCCTGCACTTCGTGTGTGGCAGCACTGGCACAGTGGCCACCGTTTGGAGTCCACTGAGTTGTCAGTCAGTGGGTACCTGCACAAAGAAAATGGGTATAGACAGCAGAATTTCACTGGATCCTGGAAGAAACAAAGCCTTGTCATTTGTAAAATCATGAATGGAACTGGAGAATGTCATCTTTGTTGAAGTCAGCCAGGGCACAGAAAACAGGTGCTGCATGTTCTGTTCATGTGTGAAAGCTAATGGGGTGGGGTGGTGGCTCTTGGAGCTTTGAAGGGATGTTGTAGGGAGTGGGAGAGATGCCGAGATGAATTACACATGTTGTGAAGTAGGAGGAGGGGGTTGGATGTCGAGGGAGACAACCGCTGGTTATATTCGATCTTTGTTGGGTACATAGCATACGTTGGGGTCATACTGCACCGCATGAATGTGTACAGTTACTACATGTCAGTTGTGGGGGGTTCTTGTGTCTGCATCTGCTGGCATCATCTGGTACTGAAAAGCATTCATTGCTGGACTTTGTGATGGTAAAATGATTTTTGAAGATTTACATTCAGATGTAGTATTTTTTGGTACCAGGAATCGAAATCAGGACCTTGCACTTGGCAGGCAGGCACTGTGCTGTTGCAGATTTAGTTTCAATATGCGGGCTTCTTCTGCATGCTTCATAAGATGGTTTGTCTCTCTGAATTTTGAAAGTCCTGTCGGCAGTTGGACTTCCTCCCGTGTTAATTATGCTCCTCACTTAACCACTTCTTTGTTGTAGTCACGGAGCATTTCATTTCCTCCTTTATCTCTTCCTAGTGTTGTCATTACTGTGTTCATTTAGATGATTCCTGAGGTACCCTGGCCATGTCCTTCTCCATGCATCACTCTGCTGTTACTGTACTGTTTCTGGAGTCCCTTTGCGATTGTCCAGACTTCATGTTTTCCTGCTGCTACTTCTCTTCAAGCTCACTTCCTCTTCAGTACCGCTCCAAACTTGGGCACCCCTTTTCCTCTCTGGGGCCCGCTGATCGCACCTCTCCCTCACTCTTCCCCAGCACTGGGATTGAACATGACCTTTGTACAAAGCTGTATTCTCAGCCTTTTCCCCCTTAATTCTGAGACAGGGTCTCACTAAGTTGCTGAGTTGCCCAGAATAGGCTTGCACCTGGGATCCTCTTGCCTCAGGCTTCCAGAGTGCCAGAGATGACAGGTGTGCGCCACCATACCCAGCTGATGTTACCAGTTTTTCATTATTTCTCCTGCGCTTGGTATCTTTTCTTTCTCCTTACCCAATTATGGGTTCCTGGTTAAACATTAGTCACTGTTTTGGTTTTACTTTTAAATCCTTTTGTCTTTCCTACATTGTTCTTTGGGAAACTATAACCCAGTCCAAATCTGACTTTACCTACCCAATTTGCAAGAATTGTAGAAGAGTAGGACATGTGGGCTTGTTATGCTGCCCGAAGTTTCACCACACTTGTCTAGCGTCTTCTTCTGTAATGATAGTTTCTCCTGTTCTGAAACTTCTCATACCTACCTGCTCCACGTTTTTCACCTTCAGGTGACAGCCTTTTTACTCCCCTGAGAAAAGTGGAGCAAGCAGGCAGTCCTCACTGTGTGTACATCTTCATTCCCACCCGCATCTGCACGTGTGTTCACATACCTTAGCTAAGGCCTGCCCTTCTGTTTACCAGGTTCCGTCTCTTCTGCCTGCTGGGGGATATTGTTCAGTAATTCTTTTCTCTGTCCAGTCATTAACTTTTCACTCTCTACCTGATTCCTTCCCATCAGTATTACAGATATGTTTTTCTTCAAAAAGACCCTTAGCTCAATTGCCTCCTACCCATTTTCTCTTTGTCTTTAAAGCAGAGGACTTGAAAAATTGCCTATACTTGCCCCTATTTCTTCTTAAATATACTGTAGCGAAAAGGATTTTACCCCTTCACCTAAACTTTGCAGATCTCCAGAGACCTTGTGATTAAATCCTGTGTTTGGTTTTTTTTTTGGTGGGGGGATTTTCTTTTTCTCTTTTTGGTCTTTGTCCTACTTGATCTTTCTGTATCTTTTGACAATATTTTATCACTTCCTCCTGAACATTTCTCACCTGGCTTTTAGAGAACATGTTACTCTGGTTTTCTTTTTACATTTCTGCCTTCCCAAGGTCTCTGATGCTGACTTATCCACATTGCCCAAACCCTTAAATGTGGGTACCCCAGAATTCAGCTCTTAAATTCCGTGTTTGGTTTTTTTTTTTAACCTGGGTGATCTCAGTTTATAGTTTTAATATTCTCTTTAGGGATGACTCTCAGATTTATCTCAGCTGGACTTCTCTTAAAAGTCCATTGTCCTCTTTGTACAATGAAGCCAACTTCAGACTTCTTTGAAGTTCTAGATGTTTGGTAGATGTCTCAAAGTAAGTGTGTGTGTGGAGGGATTGTTTTAGAGTACTGGAGTTTGAACCCAGGACTTTTGCACTGATCTCCAGCCCCAGTCCTTTATTTTTATTTTTAATTTTGAGACAGGGTCTTGCTAAGTTCCTCAGGCTAGGTTCAGTTGTGCAGTTCTCCTGCCTCAGCTCCCTAGAGTGTTGGGATTACAGGCGTGCACCACCTTGACTAGCTAAAATAGTGTGTTTAAAACTGAGTTCCTGAAATGTCCTGAATCCTTATATTTGTTTATTCTGCAGTCTTCCCCATCTCGTTAGTGGCGAGGCATTTTTCCCAGTTTAGATAAAAAGAAAAACTTCAGTGTCATCCTTGCCCCTTCAGTCTGTCTCATATGTAGTTTGTTCACAGGTCACATTGATTCTCCTGCCATCAGAATACTGTACTTCTAGCCTGCACCTGAGTCCCCACCTTGACCCCTTACCTGGATGACTGGTAGCTCGTCACTGATCTCATACCCACCTTCTTGCCCTCGCCTTCTCCAGAGCAGCCAGGGTGCTGTTAAAGGCAGGTCATCTGCTTCACCCATTCAGAACCTCCAAGGCTTCCCGTGTCAGAGTTAAAGCTGGAGTCTGTCGTGGCCTCCAGACCCACACAGGCCTCTGTCCCTGTGCCGTCCCTCCCAGCAGTGTGGTGGGTGTTCGTGCTCGTGAGCACCTCAGCCACACCGGGTGTCGGAGCTCACAGGGCTCCCGGGGAGCTTCTGAAAGGCCTGGCGGGCCAGCTCTCCTCCTGCTTGTTCAAGTCTCAGGCCCCTCCCTAGCCTCCTGTCTGCCCTTGTAAACAGCCCCACCTTGACACTTCTCCTGCTTTGTTTCTTCTTACTGTACAGTTACTACCCACCATAGTAAGAGCAGCATCTTACTCACCTGTGTCCTTTTCTGGTAGAGTAAAAGTTCCGTAAAGACAGTTTTTTGTTTTGCTTGCTGCCATCTCCTCAGCACGTGGAGTGAAACCTAGCATAAGGCAGATGCCCACTGTTAAGCAAATGAGTATGTACATGTGGGGTGTATGACAGAGAGTGTCAGTAGCTGGTCACAATTTTCCCCATGGGTGTTTTTGAATAATTAAATCTTTTTTACATTCTGGAGATGAATTCTTCTTTTCTTGAAGTTTCAGAAAATGATCAGAGCTTTGAGGTGACCATGACCGCAACCACAGAGGTGGCAGATGATGAGATTTCTGAGGGAACCGTGACACAGATCCAGGTATAGTACAACTTCTTACTGGCCTCCAGAGGGGACCCTTCGCGTACTGCTTAGGTAATGAAATAAGAACATGCTTTGACAGGATAGCAGCCACAAAGTAGAGGTGAGATGCATCATTGCACTGAGATTTCCAGGCTCACACAGGACGGTTGAGTTGTAAGCAGAGGTGCACTTTGCAGGTGCAGTCCCTGTGGAATGGGTCTGTGTCTGTGGAGACCACAGTGGGGTCGTGTGGCCCTTCCGCAGCAGTCGTGGTGGTGTTCTCCCTCTGGTGCTTGTAGGACAAGGAGCTGGCTAGTAATCAAGCCTTGCGGTTTTCTTGCCAACTTCTTTAGTTCTCTCTCGTGAGCCTTTGCCGAGTTACTTCTGCCAAAGCTCATCAGTTCTTTGTTCTCTTAGGTAGTGCGAAGCTTAAATCTGCACTACTTACAAGTTTATCTCTGGCTGATTGTGCCTCTCAGTTTTAGTAGCTTACCCTTTTGCTTCATCTCAGCATGTCATAAAATATTTACTAAGATATTTTTGAAGTAGAGCTGTTACAGAAGTTTTTTTTTTAAATATTGCAGTAACTGTTTAAGAAGTATAATAGTTTCCAGCTGGTATGTAAAATATCAAGGGCTAAGGACATCTCAGATGTGTGCACTGAAAACCTTTACAATCATAAACCTCAAAATAGTTCCAAAAGCACAGTTTCAAGAGGACTGAGTCTCAAATGTGAGTGAAATAGCCTGTTATAAAATTAAGTAGTGTTGGACGTGGTGGCACATACCTGTAATCCCAGCATAGGGAAGGCTGAGGCAGGAGGATTGCCAGGAGTTCAAGACCAGCCTGGGCTGCAAAGTGAGTTCAAGGCCAGCCTGAACTGCGTAGTGAGACCCTGTCTCAAAAAGACCAAAAAAAAAAAAAAAAGATTAAGTAGTAACAGTGTTAGTCCTGTCTTTTGTCTTTTGTTTTGCCTAGTGTCAAAGAGTGAATAAGTTATGACTTAATGTTTAGCTTCTTCTTACCATTTTAGTGCATAAAAAATTTTGAATGGTGTCTGGTATTTGTTTAATAAGATTAATGTTAGCTTGTGTATTGAAAGCTAGCATAGTGTAAAAAATTCAGAAAAACTCTGCTTCCTAGTGTGTTTTTGTCATAAACTAAGTGTAGTTAATGTACTGTAATACATTTGAATCGTAAGACTAGCTTGAAAAATGAGAAGCTGTAAAAAGTCCCAGTATATTCTATGCCTTGTGGTTTTAAGAGGTCTTGAGTGGGTTGAATATTTGTTTTTAGATTTCTAAGCCCTGTATATATTACAGACATGAAATCCTACAACTAATTTTCAAATATTTCATTTAAAGAGTAATAATATATTAAAGCCTAAGTTTAAGATTTATACATAAAATAGTGAAAACTTGGGCAAAAGACTGTCAACTCCCCTATACTTGCATAGATAGGTATCCTTAAACATACCTCAGTCTCCTTTTCTACCCAATAAACTCGTTTGTTATTGACAGTGTTGAATATACTGCCTATCTGATACCTGTTTTGTGAGTAGTAATTGTAGCTTGGCATCAGGAAGTTGAGGCAGAAGACAAGAAGTACCCAAAGGTAATGGTTAATCAGCATGGTGGGCTTGCTAAGGTTCATGGAGTGGGCTTTGCTACGTATTTAGATATACTTTGGAAAATGGTGATTTGATTGTTTTATCCATCCAGTTAATTTAAGATACCATCTACTTGTATTTTTTACATTATAGTCTAAATGTGTGTGTTATATCATGGTCTCCTGATAGTTCTGTTTCACCCCTTACAAATGTAATTATGGCACATCTTTTAAAAAAGTGTCATTGACAAAATCCAAAGAACCTGAAGACATTGAGTTTGTCTCAGTTCTTAGCTTTAGAAAAGTCTGAATATTTAAAAATTAAAAAAAAACTAAGACTATAAAACAAAAACAGGGAAATAGGACTATAAAACTTTTTAGACTTGTTGCAGTGATTTCTAGTTGAATTTAAAAACACTTCCATAAATACAGGGTATAATCACCAGATATAAAAATGTAGTAGCAACAATAGAGACATTTTTTTTCTCCTCTTTTGCATAGGTTGTTCACTGACATTTTATCTATTTCCAAGAAAGATGAGTTCCAGTTCTGCACATTAGACGTGCAGTTCCTGCTTAGTCAGCACACAGTCCAGTCTCTCTGAGATCTCACCTCCAGCCAGTGACAGAGCTTAGCCTAGCACTGTATTCAGGGCAGAACTGAACTGAGTAGAGTGGGCATGAAGATCTTCTCTTATCTTCATCTGCCTGGGTTAGGCTCGTACCTGTTGGGATAGCACCATTGCAGAGGCTGCCTCATTTGATCTACTGCTCCCATTAGACAAGGCCAGCTCTGCTTCCAAGAGCAGCTTTGTCCTGCAGAACTTGTTAGGTGTGTCTAGCTGAAAATCCACCCAGTGATAATTGTGCAAAAGGTGCTTGAGCTCCAAAAGCAACAGTGAGCATGAGTACCATAGAGTTGTATGAGAAGGGAATGTTAATGAGACTGTGACTCAGCTCTAGAAGTGGGTTAACACAAACTTCCCAGTAAGAAGTAAGCAGACACGGTTCTGTAATAATGTCTTGTAGCCTGTAAATCCTTTAAATTTAGCAGGAAATTATAGATGACTGTGTAATTCAGGTAGCAAACTTCTTATGAGGCTGTTAACCAGTTGTAATAGCCAGCCCTGGTATTTTCATTTCCTGTTTGGAACTGATCACACCTATATGTATAAGCTTATGTGACATGGATCCACAAATGCCTTTGGGATATCTTGTATTGATTTAAATACTTAATTCAAGGTTGGCCCACATACAAAAAATGGGAACCACTAATACAGTTTTTGCTTACTACGGGTCATACTATGTTAATGCCAACAATACTGTCTTTATGCTGCCATGATAACGGAATACTTATTTTCTATAAATTGAATATATTTTTACTGCATCTAAAAAAGAATTCCACATTTCTCTATTGGTTTTATTATGCTTAGCATTATAAACAAAGATGAATCAGGTTCGGTGTTAATTTTTTTTATACTTTTTAAGATTTTGCAGAATGAGCAACTAGATGAAATCTCTCCTTTGGGTAATGAGGAAGTTTCAGCAGTTAGCCAAGCATGGTTTACAACTAAAGAAGATAAGGATTCTCTAACTAACAAAGGTATGGTGCTCTAGGAAGTGTAGTGCACAGTAGGGGAAATGGAGAAGCAAGGACTCATAAAGTCTGAGCTGGGCCTTACTCAGTGTGCGTAAGTAGGGACAATCACTGCATTTCTCTAAGTAAACTTTGTCCTGAGTGACTTTGAAGGAAGCCCAGAAGCTAACATTTGTTTGTTGTTATTTTCCTCTTCCTGATATAAGTCAGATTTTGTTCGCTAACTTCTGAACAAATAACCAGGTGGGGTGGCCGCAGCTGTGATCCTCTTACTCTGGGTGACTGAGGCGGGAGGGTCCAAAGTGCAAGCCCAGCTTGGGAACTCAGTGACTTGGGAAGATCCTGTCTCAAATAATAAAGTGTGGGAGATGTAATTCAGCGCAAAAGCCCTGAGGTCAGTCCTTAGTACCCCAGAAAGAAGAGGGAGGGAAGGAATTTGCACAGATATATAGAGGTGGCATTTAAAAGACTACAGTTACTGCTTATGAGAGTTAGAAGTCAGATGTTTTCAAAGATCTGCTATTTGGTCTGAAAGCAGCTTGGAAGGTTAAAATAACAGTGCTTACTTCACAGTGCTGCTAAACAGAAAAGAGTCACGGGGGAGGAGTGAAACTGAGCGTGGTAGATGAGCTACTCGAAAGGAGGACACAAAGACAAACACGTTGGTTATTCTCAGTAAATACTCTGGGAATGCAGTATTCACTCAGTATACAGTGTCTTACTTTTATCTTACCCTAGAATCTCTTACACGTGCTCTTTTACCTATAAAACTTTTTTTTTTAAATTTTGAGACAAGGTTTCACTGAATTGCCCAGGCTGGCCTTGAACTTGCAGTCCCCCTGCCTCAGCCTCCCAAGTAGCTGGGATCATAAGCATGTGCTGTCATTCCCAGCTAAAATTTAGTTTTTATTGGAGAAATTTTTCAAAATATTTTTAGCATAATTAATTTTCGTGTATTTGTCTTTTATTAGCAGTTTTGTATTTCTGAAAGTATAAAAGAAGGTAATATTTTAAAAATACTTACTATCTTTACTCAGTAGGGTCAAATATATTTCTACTTAAAAACCAGAGGGTGCAGAACCAATATTACCTGGGGATTTTTCATATTTCAGATGGATGAGAAGTTAAATTAGCTACATTGGATTCCAGCTGGTAATCACAAAGCAAAGGTTTAGTATTTTATTCTTCTTGAGGAGTAACATTTTTTCGTAATATTATTTGTTTTCTTCTAAAGGACATAAATGGAAGCAGGGGATGTGGTCCAAGGAAGAAATTGATATTTTGATGAACAATATTGAACGTTATCTAAAGGTATCTATGATATATTTTTATTTTTCAATAATTTGTTTACTACCAATCATAAAATACACAAGCAGTGTTACACGTACTTATTTAGAGCTTCTTACTGACTTCTGTAACAGTGATCTATTAATATGTTACGGTTTAATAATTCTAAAGTATATGATTATAGTATAGTTGCCTCAGTATCTTTTGCTTTGTTGTCTTTTCAAGCAGACTATAAATTAATTTATATTATCTAAAGTTTAAGGTGCCAGGTGTAGTGACAAACACCTGTAATCCCAGCATTTAGGAGGCTGAGGAGGAAGATCCTGAGTTTGAGGCTAGACTGAGCTACAAAATGAGTTCAAGGCCAGCCTGAACTACGTAGTGAGGCCCTGTCTCAAAAAGACAAATAAATAAATAAATTTATTACACGTGCTCTTTTACCTATAAAACTTCCTTTTTTTTTTTTTTTTTTTAATTTTGAGACAAGGTTTCACTGAATTGCCCAGGCTGGCCTTGAACTCGCAGTCCTCCTCCCTCAGCCTCCCAAGTAACTGGGATCATAGGCATGTGCTACCATTCCCAGCTAAAAGTTAGTTTTTATTGGAGAAATGAGGTATGCATGTTCTTTGAATTTATATCATATGAGGCCTTTTAGAAAGGTTTTAGTGTATACGTATATTCAGACTTCTTTCTTGCTAGCTTAGTTTTCTTGTTAAATGTGCTTTGAATACACTATTTTGAGGCAGTAGAGACAAGAATTTCCTTAACATGTGTAAGCTTTTGCACAGCTTATAATCCATTTGAAGACAGGTGAGGAGTGAGACGAGGCCTTCTGCCTGCGAGTTGCACTGCCTGAGTCCAAGAAGGAAGAGTATGTTCTTGGGGTGGGAGCAGCTAGGGAGGAGTTTTGAAAGAGCAAGGTTTGGAGCTGAGTCTTGAGGACTCTGCAGTCTCAGGACTGGAGAGGACTGACCGGAGTGCACGGCCTGTGTGAGAACTGAGCAGCGAGGAGCCAGAGAGCAGCGTCCCCCACCCCACCCCACTCCACATACTATACACTAACTCCCCTTAAGACGACTCAAGATTCCTGGCCTTAGGAAACATGGCCTCTGAAGGCTGGGCCGGAGAATGAGGACTGAATCTGACAGGAACAGGAGCGTAGGACGTGAAGAAAAGCTGGTGCTTTAGTTAGATGAGGCCGGTGTGGGACAGATCTGTCCTTTTCTCCTGGAAGTCTTTTGCAGACTTGCCTATTCCCTGGTGACACTAGACTACATAGTAAAGTCTGGATGTAGTGTGGGCATTGTGTGGGAAGGGTGTGTAGTGTTTATTTGACCATTCCCTTAGTGTTTGATAATGTGTTTTAAGTATAACGCCACCTACATTGGCCACCTTCTCAGGCTTAATGTTTAACTGCAGCCTTTCTGAACAAAGCTGTGTAAACTTTAGAGTTTAAAATTTTTATTTGAAGGTTCTTCCACTAGGCTTATTATTTGCAGAGAAACAAAACCGGTGGACATTGAAAATATATCCAGAAATATATTAAAAGATGTCCACCCAGCTGGAAAATGCTATGGTTTTAGGAGAGATGGTAGAAAAAGCAGCCAAGCGTGGTGGTGCACGCCTGTGATCCCAGCACTTGGGAGGCTGAGGCAGGAGGATTGTTGTGAGTTCGAGACCAGCCTGGGCTGCAAAGTGAGCTCAAGGTCATCCTGAACTGCATAGTGAGACCCTGTCTCAAAAAAAGACAAAAAAAAAAGAGAAAAAAACAGCCCTGGATTTGAGGAATTGAGAGAGTTTCTCGTCTGGGAGCTCAAGTGATCTCCAAGGAACCCCCAGCTTAATGGTCCAGGGGAAGGGTGACTAAGATCGAGACCTTTGAGAGACCAGGAGGGTGCAGGATGCAAATGACTGCAGCAGCATAATTGTAATCAGTAGGAAAGGAGCACCTGGTCAGTCCCTTGGGAAGCTGGTAACTGGTGACCACAGTGTGGGCAGAGCTGGGAAACACCAGGAAGATGCGGTGACCTTGGGAAAGGTCACTTGATTCTCACGTTTGAGCATGCTTGTTATTTTGTGCTCTTTTGAAAGTGCTGTTTTTTAACTGTAGATAGTTCTAATTAAAGATCATATATTCTGTATTTAAAGAATAAGCAATAATAACTGCCACAATAAACGGTGGTGAAGAGAAGACTTTCTCATCTCGCTCTGTGGTCATCCTTCAGCACAGTGCCTTGAAACCACATAAACGAGAATTTGAGAAAAGATTCTAAAATTTGGAAACTTTACTGTAAAGTAAAGTTCCAAAATACCTAAAGTGCATCCCAATGTAACTTCTAAGTTTATCTGGTTTTGAAGTTTATATCACTTAAATACCCACGTTCATTCTCAGGGTATTGTGTAAGTTGCTAATTTTGGTCAATGTTACGATTTTGATCTCCATCTCCTATCGATTTGTTTAGCTGTATTTCATTATATGTTACCAATTCCAGTTAGTAGTTACATGTTCTTTCTAGTTTTTCGCTATTTTCAAAGGTGGTGTTTCATTAATGATATTTCATTATAGTTTTCATTTATATTTCTCTGATAACATTTTTATGGGTGTATGTTTACAATACATAGTATTTATATTTATTTTGAAGGATTGGCACATGTATAATAACATTTTTATGTTTACTTGGCCATTTGGGTTTCTTCTTTGAAATTCTTTTCAAAATTCATTTTCAGTGACTTACTAGTTTTCTTAAGAAGTTCTCATTTTCTTTAGTTAAACATTCTCAATGTATTTTGTATACTAAATTTATTGATTATTTTTATTACAGATTATCTTACCCCCAATTTAATGATTTCCCAATTTGGATATCCAGTTTGTCATATTTTTTGTCATTTTGTGTCCTTCTTTAAGAAATCTTTTTGCCTATGTGAAAGGCGTGAAGAGGGGCTGGGGATTTAGCTCAGCGGCAAAAGCGCCTGCCTGGCAAGCGCAAGGTCGTGAGTTCAGTTCCCGGTACCAGAGAAAAAACCAAAAAAAAAAAATCATGAAAGGCATGAAGATATTTTCATATGTTGTCTTATAAAAGTTTTGTAACTTTTCATACTTTGTAACTTTCCAGCCTTTCGTGCTGATTTTTTCCTTTATGAGTGTTAAGGCCTCGGTGTCTCATCTTTTTTGATGTGGATGGCCATATCCTGGCATTACCATGGGGGTCAGTTGTTTTCCGAGTCTACCATGTCTGTTCTGTCCTGAATCAAGCTTCCACAAAATTTTTTTTTTAGGTTTTCGTATTTGTTTTGAGCTTCTGTTTGTTATCTGTGTACCACTGTGATGCTGTCTTCAGAAGTGTCCATATCAGGGCTGGGATGTGGCTCAGTGCTAAAATACATGTCTGGTACCACGTGGAGCGCCTTGGGTTCCATCCCCAGCACTGAAGAAAACAAACACCCACAAGTCCCAGCATGTCCTGGGGCATTTCATGGAGATCTTAGCTCTTCTTAGGGCTTTTTACTCTGCTATTATAAGCTTAGCATCAGCTTGCAGAGGATAAAAAATTCTTACATAATTTTTATTGCGATTACGTAGAATCTGTGTATCATGTTGGAGGAATTAACATCCCTTACAGTATTTTTTTCTTTTTCTATTGAAGAATATGGTATGATTCTTACTTTAGTCAGTTCCTCTTTAATATTATTCTATAAATTTTATATTCTCCATAAAATACCTTCATAACATGCCTAAAGTTTAATCATGGTGCTTTTAATTTTATTGCTGTTGTAAATGAGAATTTCTAAAAATATTTTATAAACTTTATAGAAATGCAAATGACAATACACAGTGTTGATTTTTGGATCTTGCAACCTTGTTAAAAACCTTTTTAAGTCAATATTCTATAGATTATCAGGTTTCTACATATATTATCTACAAATGATTCTTTTCCAGTCTGTATATTTTTTATTAATCAGGTTAGCAGCATATTCTAATTTTCTGTTTCATCATGTATGAACACTGAATTCTATGGATGCTTTCTCCACATCTGTTGAGATTTTATGCTTTTTCTGTAAATGTCCTGATGTGACTAATTACATTAGTAACTTTCCTGACTGGCACTAACTTATTCCTGGGATGAAGTCATCTTTGATTGCTGTTACCCTTCGTGTACTGCTGGGTTTGGTGTGTGGTGCTGTACAGCACCAGGAGGTGGGGTCTGTGTCGGTGAGCGCGCATGGCCCTAAAATTCCTTTCTGGAGCTGTCCTGGTGTGGTTTTGCTGCTGCGCTGGTGCTGGCTTGCTAGTGACCAAGGAAATATCCCAATTTCTTTCTTTACTTGAGAAGGGTAAGTAGTCAGTAGACACAGAACTCTGTGTCTCTTGACTGCTTGGTAGAATTTAGCTTATGATGTTACCAGGCCTGGTGTTTTCACTGGGGAAAGATTATTTATAACTGATTAAACTTGCTTCTTGGTCTGTGGCTATTTAATTTTCTTTCACAGAGTCAGCTTTGGTAAGTTGACTTTCTCTAGCAATTGGTTCATTTTACTTGTTCATACTTATTGCTGTAAAATTGTTTATAATGTTCTTTTATTCTCTAATCTCTATAGTGGCTATTTAGGCTCCATTTTTCTTATTCCTAATATTTGCATTTTTAAAAAATTTTGCCAGAAGTTTATCATTTGAATTTTAATCTTAATGTATCTTTTGAAAAAACCAGTGTCTAGATTTCAGTACTTTTAATAATTTTGCTCCTATGATTTTCTTCTTTCTTTAGTTTTTTCATGGTTTTAAAAGGAAATAACAGAAATTGAATTTAGTATGCTTTGTTTTTGAAGTCTCTGTCATTTTATTGTTGCAACATTTCAGTGTTTACATTTGACTTTAATAGCAATATATTCTTCTACTAAATGTAATTGATGGCCTTTAACATTAAAACAAGTTTTAAAAGCATAGTATATCCACATGCATTTTATCAGAAATCCCTAAGTCAAATAAATGTAACCCATTTAGGCACGCGGAATAAAAGATGCTACAGAAATCATCTTTGAGATGTCAAAAGACGAAAGAAAAGATTTCTACAGGACTATAGCATGGGGTCTGAACCGGCCTTTGTTTGCAGTTTATAGAAGAGTGCTTCGCATGTATGATGACAGAAACCATGTGGGAAAGTATGAAAGTTTATAATGCTGTATGTTTTCATTCATTAGGGAAATATTTATAGAACTGTCATGTTTTTAAGTATAGGTATAATTAAGGCCTACCTGAAGACAGTTTATGAGTTACTGTTGTTATACTTACCCTCCAGGTCTATGTTGAGAATATGGTGAAACTTTATTATAATAAGGCCTCTTAGAAATTAGTCTGAATCACCCCTCTAGGTTAAATGGAAGACTTGGCACACTTACTGTGCCAGAGTCTGCTCCAAAGTAAAGAACATGAAAGAGCACAGTAGTGGTTAAATATGTAGGAAGTGTTAAAAGAACTCTGAATTCATTAGCAGTAGTTTTTCTTACTTGTTTTAAGAGTGTAGCATTACTAGGTCAGTGATTTTTTTTTTTTTTTTTTTAATTTTTAAATAAAACCAGAGTAGAAAGTACATTTCTGGAAGCAATGTTTGGAGTTCCATTATAGGTAATGTTTATTCAGAGGCATCCATTATAGGTAATGTTTATTCAGAGGCATCGTTAATCATCGTATAATGATTAGGTGGTAGAACTGACATACCTTTACTGTCTCTCTGGGAATTTTACATGGCAGCAGTATGGCTTATTAGATTCTACTGCTTTCCCTTCAGCTTTCAGCAGCCTGCTAATGAGAGTGCATTTCAAAGTTGAAGTAAATTAAGTACGTCTTACCACAGTGGCAAAGGAGAAATATTTTAAAAGTGGAACAGGAATGACTTGTCAACTTTTCATAACCCTTCCATATATCATGCAAGCGCTTAAAAAGTGAGCAGTAGGCTGGGTGTGGTTGCAGGAGACTGAGTTAGGATCACAAGTCTGAGGCCAGGCTAAACTGAATAGGAAGACCCTGTCTCAAAAAGCGAACAACCTTTCCTAATTTTTAAATGACAGTTTTAGAAGACATTTCATTGGCTGTACTGAAAAAAGAGCAAGAGTATGTCAGGTGTACATGCCTGGCTACAGGAAATGAAGAGAATTTTAATTTTTTCATTGCCTTAAGAGAATTTTCCATAGGTTTTTCTTTTTAGCTATATTTTACAAAAGATACAAGTTTGGAATAATTATAATTTTAAAGTGCCTGAACCTGACTTTGAAATAAAGAAAGAGTTAGGCAGCACAGGAACAAATAAATGTTGTTTTTTTTTTTTTTTTTTCCTGTACTGGGAATCGAACTCACAACCTCACGCTTGCCAGGCAGGCGCTGTGCCGCTAAGCTAAATTCCCAGCCCACAAATAAATGTTTTAAATGTAAGCATTCCTAATGGAAATTGTACAGTGCTTAATTTTACTGTAACTAAAAGTAGTTGCTATTTTTAAGAAAATAGAAGCATTTAATTTTTAGTGTTTCACTTAAAATGGGTTACTTTATGAGGGCTTATTAACATTTAGCTCCCTAATGAAATCGTGATTTTTATTAAGGCTTTTACCATTCCTTATTTGAACTGATTTTTAAAAAATTTCTCTGAATTTCTAGATATACACCTGAAGAAATTGAGAAGCTGAAGGAGTAAGTTTTAAATTTTGTTTTCATTTATTCTTACTGTTGTTTGCTTTTTGTCTTATGTTTTTAATGTTTTAACTTGAAAATTTGAAGAGGTTCTTGCTGGACAGGAGTATTTTAGTTCTGCCAATAAGCTTGATTATCAGATCCAGACCTGCACAGAGTGGCTGTGTCCTAACACACAACCGCTGCCTTCTGTTGCCCCCCGTGCTTCCTCTGGCCACTAATGGAGGTGTCAGAGATCAGGTGTTGATTTTGGTGGCCCCGGCAATGGAATCTGGGGCGTTTGTGTATCAAGATCAAAACCAGGGGTCCTAGTGTAAAGGGTAAAGTGCAGGTATCTCGCTTACTGTCGGGCTGTTCCTCCTTGCTGGGCTGCTCATCTCATGTCGCCTCAGGAAGCACAGTTTTGTTCCACCAAGGTGCGGTCATAAGGGACAGTTGAATGTGTGGTGTAGGTCGTGGAGGAAGATGGAGAGCGGCTCCTGGTAACACAAGGCTCTGGGGGCTTTCCAGGGCGTGAGGAAGAGCTGTTAGGAGTCTGCTCAAAGGGAAATGCGGGGCTCGCCTGGGAGATGGTGTCATAATCTGAGGAAAATTTGGTCTTTTTGAACACATATCCGAGTTACTTATTTCTTCTCTGACCCAGGAAAAGGGCAATTGCTGCCTGTTTTTTTTTCACCCACAGACAACTGTGGACCCCAATAAAAGGCCACACTTTCAAACTTTGGCTCTCAAAGTATTGCTGCCCACAACTTCCAAACCAGTCAAGTGGGAAGAAGAAGAATGAAGAATAAATGATGAAATTGAGAGGGAGAAAACAGTTGAACCAAATGCTGATTGGCAGACTCTTGTTCTAGGCTCCGGATAAAGCACGGCAATGACTGGGCAACAATAGGGGCGGCGCTCGGAAGAAGCGCGTCTTCCGTCAAAGACCGGTGCCGGCTGATGAAGGACACTTGCAATACAGGTACCGTGTGCGCCTTGGCGCTGTGCCGCCCGTCTCGGCCCTCAGAGGCTACTCGCCTCTGTCCTGGGGGTATGGAAGTCGTGCCTGCAGTTCAGACTTTGTCTCCCACTCTGCCTTTTTCATCGTCATAGATGAGTCCAACTAACGTCTGCTTTGTGTTTTTATGTGCGAAGACGTCGTTCACATAAGAGTTTCTTTGTTGTCAGAGGCTTTGGGTGTAGCATGTTTTGGTTTTGTAGCAACCACAACTGTCCCAGTTGAGAAAATAGTTTTGAGTTACATAAGTAGGAAATAATTTTAATTTAGGCTCATCTCACTGAACTTACATTAATGACAGTTTATCAGCTCCTGTCTATAGGAAACTTGAGTTGTAGGCAAGTCTAAACTAGGAAGAAGATACGTTCCAAAGGTTTGTGTGTTTTTGCTTATCTCAAACTTGAAGTATGTTTTTCCATCTTAAAAAATACATGATTATTGGTACAGTAAGTGCTCAGCTTATGAATGAGTTCCATTCTGGAAGACTTACTGGTAAGCCAACAGTGAGTCTTACACATACACCTGTGAAAGTTGGCAACTGAAATGCTAAGTGAGAGACAGTGTATTTCAGTCTCTAGGCCAGACTGCAGATATATCTTAATACATAAATGCACTGGTGATGGCATTCGCCAGCCTCTGTGACAGCAGCAGTTTCTTTAAATTCTCCCACTGTCACTTAGCTTTGCTGAGCCCCGCTTCACTCTGTAAAGTAGAGGTTAGAATAGATGCTGTCGTAGTTCCCTTTCACTGTGCTCTTCTCTGAAGGGGTCACAACCCGTGTTCACTCCCAAGACCAGCTGTTCTAGGGTGTGATTTTGTATCCCTGCCCTACTGAAGTGAAGTCAAGACTGCTTCCCCCTTACGTCCCCCAGCAGTACTGTCTCCACAAGGCCTGAGAGCACCAGTGTTCCAAGACTGTGTCCCTGTGTGGCTCACTTAGTCTGCAAACCAGCTGCACACTCAGGGCAAGGTTCCCAGAAGCAGTGTGCAGTTCTCTGCGTGCAGAGCTTGCAGCATAATTCGGAGGACCCCATCCTACTCCCTGATTTCGGCTGCTTTCCTTGGTGTTCTGGGACAAAGAGTTTTCTTGTTTCTTTCCAAAGAAACACCGCCTCAGGGTTGCTCCTTCCTTTCACAGCATGCTTGACAGGAGAGTAGAACTTGTCCTTGAATCTACCCAGTGTGCAGAACTGTGCCAGCATATAATGAACATTCAGTAAATACTTGTTCAGTGAAGCAAGAATGTAACCTTTTTAACATTTGGGGGTTTTAGCTATAATAACTAAATTTAAACTAGAAGGAAGTTTTTAAACAAATTTTTCTGCTTGGGCACAATTTTAAAAAAAAGACCAAGAGGAACAGGTTTAAAGGAAGGAGGAATAAAAACATCAGATGCTATTTGCTCAGTGACTAGAATTGGAATAGCGGGAAGGCAAGATATCTCACCTAATTTTGACTAAAAGGTGGGCATCTTTAGGCATCACCCCACTTGCCCTCCTCGCTCCTTCCTGTAGGGAAAGGTTCTGAATGCACTCTGGTTCTGCAAGGCAGGAAGACTCTGGGAATTGCCACATCCCGCAGCCATTAGTGAAGCTCTTGCAGCGTTGTGCACATGAAGCTCTCAGTGTGATTTGAGAGTTCATTGTTCTTTGTAATTACATTTATTGTGGTCTTTCTTGCCTTAAAAAGCCATGCAGCCTTTCTTTTGGGATTCACTGTTTCTTTTATACTGAGGCTTCACCAGACCAGTACAGCGCAGTTGGATTAGTAGAAGCACGTGGTCCCCGCACAGGGCCACTCACAAATAAGCTATTGGTTGTACTCTGCTCCCTAGAGGCTGAGTCAGATCTGTGGGAAGAGAAGGCCAGGAGGCATCTGGCTGCTCTCCTTCTTTCAGGGAAGTGGACGGAGGAGGAGGAGAAGAGACTTGCGGAGGTGGTTCACGAGCTGACAAGCACTGCGCCTGGCGACACTGTCACGCAGGGTGTGTCCTGGGCCGCGGTGGCAGAGCGGGTGGGCACCCGCTCAGAGAAGCAGTGTCGCTCCAAGTGGCTCAACTACCTGAACTGGAAGCAGAGTGGGGGCACAGAGTGGACCAAAGAAGATGAGATCAGTCTCATCCTCAGGTATGTGCCGTACCCTCTGGACTGCTCGCTCCTGTGTCTGGTTGACAGACTCTGGGTTTCCTGCACACATCATGTTTGAAAGCGCCCTTTCCACAGAGAACCACTGTGCAAGACCCTCAGTATTCACACTGAGCTCTTTCTGTTTTGTGTTTGTTCCTTTTTAGTGGATTTAGTGCCCGGGCAAAGTCCAGATTGAAGGCGTGGAGACTGAAGTCCTCTGTGTCCACAGACCAGGTATGGCACAGGCAGCGGCAGTGCAGCGTCCACTGCCACCACGTGCCTCACCTTGCCACGGGGCCGTGTCAGGGAGAGGGCTGTCAGTCTCCATGCCCTTCAATCCTCGGCTGCCACGCTGAGCTTGCCACGAGGGGCCACCGGCACAGTGGACCAGGTCAAACACGCCTGCTTTATACACATTCAGGAAGGGCGTTAAGAGAAATCCAAGATTTCTAAAAGTTGTTTTAACATGAAGACTTGGAAGCCAAAATGAGCAAAAAAAAACCATCCAGAAGATAAAGACACTGAAGTAAGAGACTTACTATTGTGTCCCTGCTGAAAACCAAAACCATCACAATTAAAGCTAGAAAATGAATGATTTAAAACCTCAAAGTTAGTTGTACTGTTACTGGTTGTGTTTTGGTTGGTGGTGTATTTTTATCTTTTGATCTTTTGATCTTTTTATCACTTTGTTTTGAATTTTGTTCTTAATAGAATTTTCTTTTTCCACTAGTCATCTTTATAAATAGTCCATTGCTAAACATTTCCATTTTACAAATAGAAAAGCTCAGATCTAAAGATAATTGACTTAGTAAAAGCCTCTGTAAGAAATGCTTTGGAACGCCGTACAACTTAGCTTTCCTTACACAGTGTGTCATCTAGCCTGCTCCCTTTCCTTCCCAGTGCTTCATCTGCTTCTGATTATTTACAGTTTGGCCCACCGGTTATACTTTTAAGCAAAGGCTGTGCTGATTGGATTGCTTAGCTGCTGGCTGTGAACACAGATCTGTGTTTGTGGAGCCCTTTCCCTGTGCCAGTGGACACGAGCAGCTGTGGGCTTCACCTGCCGTGCCGTCTATCACCAGTGCCGCCATCATTTAGGTAGAGGAGGGCTCTCATGGAGAGACTGTGTACCATCTAACGTGCTTGTTTTGAACCTGTAGGGTAGCAGAGCTTGATGTAGCTGATGAAAATGACATAAACTGGGATCTGTTAGCTGAGGGATGGAGCAGTGTCCGTTCACCACAGTGGCTCCGAAGTAAATGGTGGACCATCAAAAGGCAGATTGCGAACCATAAGGATGTTTCATTCCCTGGTAATGTATTACTTTAAGTCCTTCCCTTGATTACCATGTTTACACCTTAGGAGTTACAGTTCCCTGCCTCAAGAAATGTCAGAGCCAGTTTCCATGTAGCACTTTTGCCCTGTTTCTTGAGTAGTTGTCTTTTCTTCCTTAGAGAAGAGTTAATATGATTTTTAGTTCCCAAAGCCTGCAAGCTGAAAACAGATACATTCTCACACATTCTTGTTCTTCTACATAAAGTATGAAGATGTTTTATTTTTGTACTGAGATTTATTTCTCAAAATTCAAATTTAAATAAACTTTATGAGTTATATACTTCTAAATATCTTAACTGGGCTTGTTAGGGAAAATATGTGATAAAGTTCTTTTGTGGCATAAAGGCTTACAAATTTCTGATTTCATTTATTATGTCAATGTAGAGATCTGAAATTGAATCGGCTTGAAGTGAAACAGTGTACTTTGCATTCCATTGCCTGTTTCCCAGGCACTAAACTAAGTTGGGCAATCTGTTTAATCTAGGTTATTAAATTCATTCCCCTTAATATATAACTCCCGTTTTCATTTTTCCAAAGAGAAATTAAATGCTAATGAATTTTCACTTGATGAAAACATCAATTACCGAAGTTGAACCAAGAAGACATAAAAATTCTGAACAATCCAATAACTTGCAATGAAATTGCAGTAATAAAAAACTATGAACTAAGAAAAGCCTGGAACCAGATGGCCCCAAATTCACTGCTGAGCTTACAAGACCTTCAAGGAGATAACACTAATACTTTTCAGACTCTTTAATGTAATTGAAGGGGAAGAAGTACTCCCAAACTCATCCTTGAAAGCCTGTGTTACTCTGATCTCCAAACCAGATAGAGACCCAGCTGAAAAAGAAAATTGCAGGCCAGTCTTCTCAATGAACAGAGATAGAAAAGTCCTCAGTAATACCTTGGCAAGTAGAATCAAAAGAATTCATCCAAGTAGGTTGCAAGGATGGTTCAGCATATGCAAATCGATAGGTTTAATGAATCACAAAAACAGAAGCAAAGTCAAAAACTACATGATCATGTCAATAGATCAACAAAATCTTTTGACAAAATCCAACATCCATTCATGATAAAAGCTCTGAAGAAAACAGGAGTAGAAGGACCTGATAAAAGCCGTTTATGACAGACCGGGAGCTAACACATGGGGGAAGCTGAAAACATTCCCTCCAAAAATCAAGAAAAGCAAAAAAAAGAAAAAAAAAAATCAAGAAAAGGACAAGGATGCCCACTTATGTTCAACATGCATGCACATCAAGCTAGAGCAATCAAGAGAAAAAAATGAAAGGGATATGCGTAGGAAAGGAAGTCAGATTATTATAATTTTATTTGATCCTTTACATAGAAGACCCCCAAAAAAAGCTCGATGAAAAGACTTAATAGCAAATCTGTAGCATAACAGCATGCAAAGCCAACACACAAAAATCAGTAGTGTTCCTGTACACGAGTTACAACTCACCAAGAAGTAAATTAGGAAACCGGTTCCATCACAGTAGCATCAAGAAAAATTAAATACTTAGGAATAACCTAACTAAGGAAGTGAAAGCCCTTTACTACAAAAGCTACAGTACTCTAGAAAAAGAGATCAAAGAGAATATCAGAAAATAGATAGCTCTTGTTCCTGGAGAAGCAGAACTAATATTGTCAAAATGGCTGTACGTCAAAAACTGATCCACAGATTTAATGCAGTCCCAATTAAATAGCAATAATATTCCTCAGAAAACTAAGGAAAACAATCATAAAATTCATGTGGAACAGAAATCCAGAATGGTAGGAGACATCACAGGACCTCACTTCAAGTGATCCTACAAAGGTATGGTGACAAACACAGCATGGTATTGGCATAAAAACTGACTCGTGGGTCAGTGGAACAGAACAGAGGATGCAGAAACAACCCTGGACACATTGAGCCCCCTGATCTTTGACAGAGACCAAAAACATGCTGGACGAGAGAGCCTCTGTAGTAAACAGTGCTGGGAAGACTGACTGCACACGGAGCAGACTGAAGCTAAGTCTGTATCTTACCATGTATGAACCTAAAATCACGGTGGTTCAAAGATCTAAATATTAAAGCAGAAACACTGAACCTGCTGGAAGAAAAAAGGAGTTAAAACTTTTGAAGTCATAGGTGTAGGCAAGAATGTTCTGAGTAGAACTCCAAATGCACAAGAAATAACAGCAAGAATAACAAATGGGGTTATATCAAATTAAAAAGCTTCTGCAAAGTAAAGGAAACAACCAGTGAAGTGAAGCAACAACCTACAAAATAGGAAAAAAAAACTTGACAGTATGCTTCAGTGACTCAGTGCTGGAGGATCCCTTGAGCCCATGAGTTTGAGACCAGAGCCTGGGCAATATAGCAAGACCCCAGTTCTCCCAGAAAAGAATTTTAAAAATCTGTTGTGATGGACAATGTTTCCCAGCTTTCAGGTCAGGTTGTGGTTTTAATAATTTTACTGTTATTTCGATAAATTCTGACATCCAGTAAACAGTTACTATTCCCAGTACTTCCCCTCCTTACCCCACCCTCCACCTCCCTGTTGCTTCGACGGTGGTGTCAGAGAGTCAGTGTTCTTTTTGTCTCCCCATCTCCCTGCAGTCTTAATAAAAGGTCTGAAACAGTTACATGAGAACCAAAAAAACAACCCATTGCTGCTGGAGAATAAGTCAGGACCTGGAGTTGCCAACAGTAATTCCAGTTCCAGTGTTCAGCATGTTCAGATCCGAGTGGCCCGCTTGGAAGAGAACACAGCCGTACCCCCCAACCCCATGGCCGCGTTGCAGATCCCAGTCCAGATCACCCACGTCTGTAAGTGTGGGGCTTGGGTGATGGCTCTGATGCCTGTCGGTCTGCTAGAGCCGAGTGGAGAAGAAAGCCCATCCAAGGCCTTTTAGAAAGTTTAACTCGTATTTGCAAAGAACAAACATGTGGTAGGTAGGACTTACAACCCTGGCACTGTAACCATTCTGAAACAGTTTTCCCAATTTTATAATTAAGGATGGAGTAAAAACTAATCCTTCAAATAGAAATTAAGATTAATGATTAATTGAAAATTGCCTGAAAATGTCAGTTGAGCTGAGAAACAACTCATAGGGTAGCACAGTGTTTAATAAATTTCACCAGAAGACACACAGATTGGGGGTGGATCTGCGGTAGGCAGTCAGTCCCTGACTTACAAACATTCAAGTTGCAAACTTTGACGGGTATATTACTATATAAGATTCATTTTAGCGGCTTATGGACAGTTCTCCCAGAACAGAACTTGTTTATGAGTTGGGACTTACTGTTTATAAAAGTAGGTTTTCAAGCAGGGTTGAACAAGATTTTCTTCAGGGAGCAAGGAGCCAGTTTCCTACAGAAGAATGTTTCTATATCGGGGATTTCTGTTGTCCTCAGCCTCTGACAATTTTGCTTTTAATAAGATTATAGGAACCCAGCAGTAACTAAGGGAGGCGAATACATTTTCAGTTCTAAGCCAAGTTGACCTTTTCCTCATCACTCTTAGATGGCAGTGACAGAAAGGGAATGAGAGCAACATTCTGAGAACCAGCATCCTTTAGCTTGCAGTCAGTCACATTTTGGGAGAGGGTCTACATAGTGCTCTTTGCCGTGAAAAGGTCACTGACCACAAGTACACCAGTCACTGTTATCCTCAGCCAGGCAGTTTCTGACATTCTGAGCAAGACCAGTCTTTGCAGAACTGTCCTTCATATTGCAGGATGCTTTCGGGGTCCCTTGACCTCGCCCACAAAACATCCGTGGCGCTTCCAGGGATAATAACACACACACTTCCATTATCACCCTATGTCAGGATATACAGCAACTGTGGAGGTCTAGGGTGGAGCTGAGTGGCAGATAGCACCCAAAAAATGAATCAGTAGAAAAATGACCTTAGAGACATTTACACTCATGATAGTTCTTAAAAAGTCCTAATTTGAATTTATTTGCTTTTCCATTTTCCAGTATAATAAAGCATGAAGAATTTGCTTTGGCCCTTCTCGGTTTTTGTTTTTTTTTCCCTAAATAGTCAAGAATTATAAAGCAACTGAAAGTCCAGATAACCCTAACTGATTGTGTATGGAGACCTTTTAGTTTCCCTAGGGTTGATAGTATGACAGTATCTGTTAGGAAGGCAGCCAGCCTAAGTAATACCTTAATACTCATTCATACCATCATTTTTAAATGGATAAATGTGTGAAATAAATTATTTCTCCCGGCAAAATACGTGAATACAGTAAGAATTCTGTAATCCACTCATTTCTTTTTTTAGGTTAGGGGCAGGGCTGCATGAACTTTGACTTGTGACAGAGGTCACGTGTTCTCGTTGTTTCCAGCCCTGCATTAACCGTGGGCAGACAATGGTCAGTCTGAGCCTTGCTGGACACCTCTGGAGGGTGCTACTGTCTGTTCAGTCCCTATTATATGGGCTTTTGAAGTTGTAGCATCTAACACCGCTTTTAAAGCACCATTGATCCCAAAGCAGCTATGTGGGGGAGGCAGGACAGTTGTAGTCTGAACCTGAGTTGGCCAAGGTTTCCATTTTCAGGAAGCAGTGTCACAAGGGGAAGGACCTGGCCTTGGGTCACACACCACTGCTCCAGACGTCTGTTGTTTACTGCAGTGTCAAGAAAAATGTTTTTCCAGTTTCCTTTCTCTTTCCCAGTTAGCTTTGGTGTGCTCCTCTTAACAATTAAAAATGTTTCGTATGCATACTACAGGTTGGTAAACCTTTTCTGTAAAGGTCCAGTGGCATCTTAGACTTCATAAGCTTTGTGGTGTCTGTCACAAGTCTTCAAGTCGAGTGTGAAAGCAGTCACAGGAAAAACATGAATGGGTCTGGTTATGTCCCAGTAAAACTGTCAGGGGGTAGAACTGGCCAGCTGTGGCTGATTCTGTGTGCTCTTGTCTATGATCTACATGCTGTCCGTCCCAGATAAATCTGCTAGACTTCTTTTAGGAAATTTCAGTGACTTCAGGCTTGCATGCAGATTATGCCATGTGAAATTGCCTTCCCAGCAGCTCAGTACACTGGAGAAGCTCCACCAACCTTTTATTACTGTCCTTATTCTTACTGCAGCTTCAACAGAAGCCCCTGCTGCTCCTGTTGACTCGGAAACACTAACCCTAAACAGCGGAACACTACAGGCATTTGAGATTCTTCCAGTGAGTAATACTTGCTATAGATTCTGACCATTTTTATGCATAAGATCAGTTGGTATAATTTTTAAATTTTTATCATATGAACAGGTGAAATTAAAAATTTCAGGCCAGACATAAATCAGACTTCCACTTTTATTACTTGAATTGTTCTTCATGTATAAAAACAGGGCTGACAGCATGCGTGAATGGGTTTGTGCTGAGCCCGAGCTCGCACCATCAGAGGAGGTTTGTAAAGCGTCTGTCATGCGCCGTTCAGTAGTACTGACTCAGGAACACTTCCAGCACGGGGACACAGAGCTATACTCTCAGCCTGAAGGGGTTAGCCACTTCGGGAAAGTCTTGTAATTTCTAAACAACCTGTCCACAGAAAAACTCCTAGGAAAAGCTGGATGTGGACATGGGTCTTTGGAGGTTCCACTGGGGTCACAGTGATGGGGTGGTCCTTACTGAGCCATAGGAGCACAGGGCACACAGCCAGCACTGTGCCGGAGCCGCCTTGACACACAGGACGTTGGTGTGTTGGGCAGGTCTGACTTAAATGGGCTTATCTCCATGCAACTTACCATAGTCAAGGAGCACTTGGGTGCATTTCGCATTTACTTGAATAGGGGAGGATAGTAGCACCTCAGCTACAAAAAACCTGAAACTTGAACATATTTAAAGGTATTAAGTAAAGCATGTAATTTTCATAATGCATATAAAGTTTCTGCAGAAATGCCATATTGTATGTGGTTAATTGTGCATGTAGCCTTCAGGAAAATGAGGAAAACAGCTTTCATTTCCATGGAAAGGCCAGAGAAATTGAGTCCTGACTGAGTGATAAGCACTCTCGAAATCACTAATTCTGCAACCCTTTCCATGGGAGGTGATTATTATCCCCATAGAACAAGGAAATCTGAGTTCAGGGATTCAGTGTATAGGAGATTTCAAAGGTGACAGAAGCCCCATCTAAAGTGCAGGTATTTTCTCTCAGTTGCTGGGGTGAGCCCAACTTTAATTCAATAGAAGCTTGTAGTATGGAAAGTTCATTAGGGAATAATTTTGTCATGCTTTAGAACCTCAGAAGATAAGTACAAGTTAATAGCTTTTCAGATAAACATCATCTTCCTTCAAGAGAACATTGCTAATTGCTATTTTGATAAATTTTCCCCTAATACAAAAAATATTTCTTGAAATTATACTATAAAAAAATGTGTTCAAGTAAGTAAACACTGCTGTTGTACCTCTTCCAAATCATAAAGCTTGCTTTGTTTATACTAGATGGCCAGTCCTGCCGTGCTGTGGGCAGGATTAAAGAATGGTGCTTGGCCATGCTGGTTGATGCACATGTGTGGGCATCCCAAACATACAGCCAGCTGAGACCAGGCAGTGAAAGACAGCAAAGGGCAGGACAGGTGCCTCCTGGAGAGAGGTGTGAGACAGAGGAGTACTGAGTAGTTCATCCTTCATTACTTGTTTATACCTTTAGGACTGGGGCTGGAGAGTCCACTTGTGGCCACTAAGTTGAAGTGGGTCCATGTTCAGAGGCAGAGGTGGCTCTAGTTGTCTGTTACTTGTGTTGAAGTATCTCTCTGTCCTTTCCCTGTAGTCTTTCCATCTGCAGCCCACTGGCACACCTGGCACCTACCTGCTTCAGACAAGCTCAAGCCAAGGGCTTCCCCTGACTCTGGCTGCCAGCCCCACGGTAACCCTGACAGCCGCTGCTCCTGCTTCTCCCGAACAGATCATTGTTCATGCTTTATCCGTATGTTGCACAATTTTTCTTGATTTTTGAGTATCAGTTACAGGCTAGGGTTAGTTGAACAAGATACAAGCACCATTGTCACAGTTGCACCACCTTCCTCCCTTCACTGGGGTGTATGTCTAATCCCCTCTATCTTTTTCTGTGAGAGGGATGTACACAGAGGTGGGAATTTAACGGAGAGAGGGCCCCGTCTCCAGAGCCATTATGCTTCAAGTGATGAAAACATTGCGGCTCCTGGGAGGGACTGGGATCTCCCCTGCAGATATTGTCTGTTGGGTAACTTCAGCTCTAGCAGTACTTCCTGCTTTTGCCACTGACAGTTTCCTTTGATGCTTTATAGCCAGAACATCTGTTGAACACAAGTGACAATGTCACAGTGCAGTGCCACACTCCCAGAGTCATCATCCAGACTGTTGCTACAGAAGACCTCACTTCATTATCCCAGGCGGAGCTCACAGTAGACAGCGACATGCAGTCGTCTGATTTTCCTGATGCACTGGAAGCAGACACTTTCCCAGATGAGATTCATCAGCCTAAAATGACTCTAGCACCATCATATAATGACGCTCATGTGTCCAAATTCAATGACCAAAACAGCACAGAACTGATGAACAGTGTTATGGTCAGAACAGAAGAAGAGATCTCTGACTCCGACCTTAAGCAAGAAGGGTCCCCCTCTGACTTGACCAGTGCTTATGTTACTGAGGTAAGTTGTGCCTAGCAGAGTGCTCTGGAAGGGTCTTAGACATACTCCGTGCAGTTCTTCCTTTCTGTGGGTCCCCAGTGCAAAGTCCCATCTTTGCTGCACCAGTGTCAATGACCCAGCATGGTGTTGCTGGTGGAAGTGGGTAGCCAGGGATTTCTTGTGGCTTTCAGGGAAGCATGAGACTACTGTTGCAGCACACCACCTCATGTGACCTCTTCCCTCCCCAGCAGCAGCGTGGCAGGTGCTCCTTGGAACCCCTCCCGAGTGTGGGGAGTCAGATGGTTCTTAGGCTTCAGCGTGGGGCCCTCATGTTCACAGCATTGCTTCCTCTGCATACAGGTGACCTATACCTGGATTTGTTCTTTCAAGTTGTTTTTCTTCTTTCTTTAAATATTACTTAGGATTTAGAGTCTCCCACCATAGTAGAACAAGTTGATCAAACAACAATTGATGATGAAACAATACTTATCGTTCCTTCACCACATGGCTTTATCCAGGCATCTGATGTTATAGATGCTGAATCTGTCTTGCCCTTGACAACACTAACAGGTACCGTACTACAACTTGTATGATGTGACTGATAAATCTGGTGGGAGAATCAGGCAGTTTTTTAATTTAGTTGTTTAGTCTTTTCCTGGTCCAGCAATAGACTTCTCAGTTAAATCTTACTCTTCAGTAGACTATTTAAATTCTTGGAGTGGATTAGAGAAAACGTATGTATGCAAACGCACACTGAAAACTAACCTGAAACTCAACTTTTCCAGATCCCATACTGCAACACCATCAGGAAGAGTCAAACATCATTGGATCATCCTTGGGCAGTCCGGTTTCTGAAGACTCAAAGGATGAGGATGAGGACTTGGTGAACTGCCACTAGGTAATTCTTAGACACAGGTAGTTCAGCGAAGAAGCCACACTGTGCATTACAGTGTCTCCAAAGAAGCAGGAGCAACCCCCAGGAGGCTTCCTCTACTGTTCCTCTGGCTTCTGAACAGCTGTCGTGCTTAGCCGTGCACGTTGTTGCTGCTACGACTTTTACCTCTTCTGCGTGTCCATCTGAGGTTCAGTTTACGACCTGTGTGGCCGCGTGGAGTGTGGATCCCATGTTTTGTGTTACTTGCAGGAGGGAATCTCATTCACTCCAGGCTCCTGACAAGTTTTCCATGTCACCAAAGCTAACTGCCTATCTCCACAGATCAGATGCGGCACTCTCCATCTCAAGCAGGCCCGGGTACATTTCAGGGACATCGTATCAGCACGGCCTAGAGTTTATCCATGACCTTCAGAAAGATTAAGCAGGATTAGTTTGAGACCTGACCAGTATACAGTGAGACCTGGGAGGAGACTGTGTGGCAGTTACTTCTGGTTCACCCACTGCTGACAGTGGAAGCTAACGTGGCAGGGCAAGAGGAACGCATTACAAAGTCCTGGGAACTCCCTACAGGTCTTAGGGCTTCCAGAGGGAATGTGGGTCAGGGGAGTAACAAAACCTACCAGCAGCTGAGTGTCTTCACCCCTTGCAGAAACCACTGTCGTTAGTTTACAGACTTAGCACTTTCAAGTAAAGTTAAGCTGTGCTTACTTGGGCAGCACATACTCCGAAGGAACACTGAACCAGATGGAGAAAGCGGGGGACGTTGGCAGTCCCTGATACTACAACCCTTTATGACACGTTTGCCGTTTAAGTGACCTAGAACACAGCTAAAGAGGGGTTGAGAGGTTCCCCCTCACTGCGTGCATCAGCTGCCTGGGGTACAATATAACTTCTCCCTCTCAGGCAGTTTTAAAAAACAAAATTTGCTTCTGTAACAAAAGGAAAGAAATCAAGAGTCATTCCTATACTAGAGAAAGGTTAAGCCAATACTAGCTTCTTAGGGCTTAAATGAATATGACCCCTATAGAAAAGTCACAAAAAAACTTGTATAAATTATTTTATTTATTATTGTAATTAGATCTTCACAATCAAAGTTGTCTTTTCACCATCTGTGTTTTGTTAACGTGAAATTGTAGTGACAAGCAAGAGTTGGTTGCCTAGGGAACAATTATTGTATATTCAGTTTAACAGAAATAAAGGAATATTTGTCTTAAAATGCAAGATTGTGAGCCTTTACCATGCAGTCGTAAAAAATTTTAATTTCAAAAGTGAAAATTACTTGTGCTGTTTGAACTGTAAGGTTGGAATGTTTAAGTGCACATCAGCTCCTTAAAGAAAAAGCGAAGAGATCTGTGATGCATCTCCCTCACAAGAGAGAGTTGAGATTTATAGTTCACATGAAGTCACGTGTCAGCATTCTGTAGGAGACTGGTCCATGCACCTGGCCCAGCAGTCTCTCCTGCCCTCACAGGTAGTTCTCAAGAGCCCTGGTCAGGGTCTCTTCTTGACAGCCTCACCTTCCCAGGTCGTGGAAGTATAGGTTTGCACATATACACAGCATGATGATTGAAAATAAGATATAGTAAATTAAACTTCTAAATTTCGGTTCTAAGTCTCCTTGTCGATACCAGTAGATCTGAAAGAAGAATCAAATTAAATTTTAAGTAATAGCCATCGGGCCAGCTGTTAAAACTTAAAACACAACTAATTGTTTTTGCATTAATTTTATCAGTATTTCTGCAGATGAGTCTTACTATTCTTCCTGCCTTCATTCAGTATAATTCAAGTAGTACTACCTGAGTCCACATCCCAAGGTCATACTTACTCGTAGTACCTCAGTTTACTTTCCTCCACGTTCTAACCAATTGTTTGGCAAGCTATCCAGGAATACGTCTCTCAGTGTACTTGGGTAAATTCTACTTACAAGGGAGAAGGAGGTTTACATCCTTTTCATCAGTTCAGACTTTGGCAGTATACAACAGAGCTTGCAAAATACTGTACATACTCAGATTTGAGCAGCTTGGTGTGGGTCACACAGGCTTGGGGCAGGGAGGGCAGGAAGGCTTCCAGAGTGGTGTGGGCTGGTTGTTCTCAGGGTATGGGAGTGTAACACAACTAGTTCAATTTTAACTTGAATGAAATGAATTACTACTGTGAACTAAGCCCTATGTGATTCAAAACCATTGCTTTTAAGGGTTTAAGATTTTGATTCTGCATTTGGAAACTTTAAAACAACCAACTACTGAATGACTGAACAATGAAAAGCCTCCACCATCTTTCTTTTTAGTTTGCTAAAATGTAGCACTCTTGTGACCACAGTACAACGGCCACTTTAAGTTTCCCAGCAAATTTTGGAAAATTACCTCCACTCAGGGAGGTAAGCACATAGATTAAAATATACAGAACCAGAGTGCTATCTTTTCCCTGAAGAGCTCTAGTCGAACCCTGTGTATTCACGTAGTCCTTGAGTGAATATGATAAGTAAAGTATACCACATTTTTGGCCCCTTAAAGTATTTTCACCCTTCCGCTTTTTAGCTATCGAAAAAACCAAAATTCTCCTTTAAAGTTGAAAAGAAGGCAACTCAAGTAGTACTTCTGAAAAACAATGTGGAACTAATTAAGAACTGTGTTGGGGAAGGGAGGGTACAAGCCCCTTGATGTAGACTCGGGCTGGGGCTCTTCTGTCCAGGGCACTGCCACTGAGGGCCTCGAGTGCGCTGTCGGAATCCCAGTAGTACTCACAAGTATGCAGGCTGTAGCACTGCTCAGAGAGATGCAGACCGCAAAAAATATATTCAGTGGTTTGGGAGGTAGGCGAGGGAAAACAAAAGCACTGATCAGCGTTACCTGTATGGAGAGAAGAGATGTCAGGACTTCAGGGGAAACCGAAGATGTGTCAGCCTGCGTCTAGGCAAGGCAATACTATAAAATGCTGCGTACTATAAAGTCATATCCACCCTAGGTTTGCTTTCTATAGCATAGTATTTGAAAATACGTTTATTTCTTTAATACTTCCTTCTTTTCAAGCTTTTCCCCCACAAATGAAAGGAGACAAAATGTTAGAGGTCACATAAAAATCATTCCTAGAATTGATAACTGTACAGAAAGAGGGCTAACCATCCTATTTTGAATACTTGTACCAAAAACAAATGTATTCAAAGTTGGCTTTACTTATTAAGTTTATGAAAAAAACACTGAAAGATAGGTTTAAAATACCCATCTGTTTCTGTCATAGTTACAGCATTATGCCCATTCTTTTTATTGAGAAGTAAAGGAGAAAAAACACTAAAACTTATTCTCTGAAGAAATAGTAATTAAATTGTCATTATCAGACTATGGAAAATATAGCTGTGTTTATACTGTGATAAGACTCAACCATATTATACAGGATGAAAAATTACTATGTACTGATCAGATCTTTTAAAACTTGACTAAAGGGTAAATGTAAAGTATTAACAGAAATGGGACATTATAGTGGGTGATAGCAGAAGGGATAGATAGTAATCACTAACATTTTTATAACTCTACTAGAGCAGGTGAATATGGCAAACTTAATTGTCTAACTTACACTATTTCATATACTCAACTGGGAAATTAAAGTAAAAATCAAAATAGCTGCTTCGGTTGCCAGATGCAGTTTTATAAAATAAAAACATTTTGACTTACTGAGGACTAACTGCCCTATAATGAAGCTTTCAAAACTGTAGCTAAGAGCTTAGGTGAAGTACAAAATCCAAACTACTTACTAGAATCAATAAGCATGTGAAGCTGCCAACAACCAAATTGATGATTCGGTCCTGAAAGAGAAAAGTGTGTGAAGCACATGACTGGGACTTCTGGCACCTTCAGGGTATGCAGTGCTGGGCACTGGGTGCTAGAGATACAGAGACCAAGCCCTGCTGCCCTCCTGAGCCTGTACACCGCAGACAGTACAGTGGAGTCAGAAACGACAGGGCACCCTGAGAAAACTGGGCCAATGAGGGAAAGTTTCTTGGAGGGACAGGTGATTTACACTAGGGTGATGAAGACTGGGACTGCCAGGCCAGAACTTCGGTAGAAACCATCAGACACTGGACTGGACGATAAAGAGAACTGTGATGAGTTTGGGCGTACATTAGGGATACAGTGTCCTTGTCTAATCTAAAAACATACCACTATGGAAAGGGATCACAGCTGGGCATGGTGCACACCAGTCATCCAGCACTCATGAGAGGCTGAGGTGGGCAACCTGGGCTACAAGAAAAAAAAAAGACCACAGTGCCAAGGGTGCAATCCCAAAGACCATGTAGTCCAGTGATTATTTTTTTTCCAATTTATTTAATAGCAGAAGCCTTCAACTGAAATGATTTAATGGAAAAGCCTGTTCTTACACCTACCTACTTTTCTCATTTTGATCCCCTACCCCAAGCAACTTCATAGAACTAGTCTGAAAAGCTTCTGATCTCATCCTAATTTTACAGGTTAAGGCAAATTCAGGCCCAGTATGGTTAATCATTTGCCAAAAGCCATACAGCAAGTTAGAAGGAACTCTAAAACCAGGGATTCCTGAGGTTAATAATAGATTAATAAAAGCTAGTTACAAAATTACAAAATAAGGTTTTTTAAAGACTTCATTAGGAAACACTAAGTTACAGCCACTGAGAATACCAGTCTTATTTAAAAGAACTCAGAACTGAGTCCAGTGAACCAATTGTCTTTACAGATTGTCGTGGTAACACCTTTGTTAGCAAAGAACCCCATATGGAATATGAATAGCCAGTAAACAAAATTTCAGGGGTGGGAGAGGCATGGGGCAAGGGAACTGTCATTTCCAAACTGTTTGCTTTTCAAATAAGAATCCAAAGACTGAGTCCCAGAGGCAAAGCTGAATGGTACAGAAAGGGTATAGAAAAGCCAACTGTGTGCCAGACATAGCCAAGAAAAACCAACTCTACAGATCAAGGCCCCTGAAATTCAAAGGTCATGGGACAAAGCAAACAAATCTGAACTATACCCACATTCCATTTAGAAGACTCAGAACAGATCTTACCATCACTATAACACAAGTGTGAAATTAGGACTGTTTGGGCTGGGGATTTAGCTCAGCGGCAAAAGCGCCTGCCTGGCAAGCGCAAGGTCGTGAGTTCGGTTCCCGGTACCGGAGAAAAACCAAAAAAAAAAAAAAAAAGAAATTAGGACTGTTTGAAAAGTAACAATCCATAAATTTACATATAAGACAAATGTGGATAAATAGGAATATGAGAAAATATGCACAAAGACAGTATCAATAGGACTTCCCATTGCTTCTGCCTTGTGAGAAAGGCTCAACTGTACTCCTCTGGTATATTCTGAGATGCAAGAATTCCTGCTCTCTGAGCTCCAAGGATTTGCACAAGTTTACAAGGGTCTGCATACCTCACAGTAGCTCTCCCACCAGTACAGGGCAGTGAGAGGTTTAGGTGTGAAGAAGCCAAGCACATGGCTCGCTAACTTCCCAACATGGCTGGCCGTCCAGCAGGATCAAAACAAGTGGAAAAGACAGTAGTGAAACAATAGCACCTATCCCCAAGCTTCCACATTCTCTTCTCAAACTTCTTGAGATGAAATAGTAATGACTCTTACAGTTGGCAAAATAGGCTCAGGGAAACTGAGAATTTGGCCAAGTTCTCATAAACCAGTAAGTGATGGAAATGAGTCAGTGTCAGCCCTGCTTTCCCCAACAGAGAAAATCCCACTTGTACTCCTTGCTAGAAGAGCAATGTAGAAGCTACTGCTTGCTGGTCTAGTTGAAGATGACAGCTCAAAATGACTATTTTAGAGCCTATTATGGATAAGGATTTACATACACATGGGTGGTTTTTTGTAAATAACTGAATGGCCACAGAAGCATAATCCTTCTGATAAAAATGTATAAACTTTAAACTTGCTGCCAGCCTTTTAGAACAAGTTATTCTAATGTAGTGGGTCCCTCTGGGGCCCCCAAGGTGAGATGAATAGTCCACATACAGCAGATGTGTTTCTCAGGACAGTATTTTCTTGTTATAAACCAAGAACTTGGCTTCAGGTCAACCACTGTGGACATAACTGTGAATCCATATCAAAGGGCAGTTAACTTTGGAAGAGTGAAGGTCAAAAAAAGAAGGAAAAGAATGGTGGTTCATGAAGAGGAACCCCACAAAGACCCACAGAAAAACCTCTAAGTGTTGCTGTTGCCAAAGGAAATGGGGCAAGCGGAAACAGTCAGCACTCAGAGAACTGAGAGGAAGAATGGGTGGCGCGATCTGCCCAGGCCCAAAGAATCTTCGTCTTCGGCTGAAGTGAGGAAGGAGAAGAGGTCACATAAGCCAACAGTTTGTCCTTGAGGTGGTAGAAAGTTACCCGTGAAGCAACGAAACAAATACACCATCTCCATTTACTGCTGGGTAACTAAGCTCAATGAAAACCCACTGATTTGGCACCGCCATCCAGCTAGGGAATGGCTAAAGCCTCCTATCCAGCACTCCTTGCAGAACGCAAGCCAGGTGAGCAGTTTGAAAGGTCGAAGAATCCTTAAACTAATACATACGGACTTTGAAATTATAATCAGGAGACTAATGTTATCTCATTATGTCACTGGCCATTTATGCAACCAGAAACTGATTCTTTAACCCAAATGGGTTTATCAAATAAGACTGGCCTAAATGATACCCACTACTTCCCCATTCTAACCATTTACAGTTCCGAATCACCAGCTTCAGTCTGTACTTGGGCTAGGGAAGAATTCCTCTTCTAGTGCCCACAAAACAGGGAAACCCCAATCCTGCCCTATCAGCCATTGGCCAGTATCTTCACGTAAGATCGAGAACTCCAAACTCAAGCTCAGGCAGCAGTGACTGTGGACAGGAAATGTGCAGTAGCAACCCAAATATCCAAAGCCAGCATCTATCCTGAGCTCTTCAGAACATTCCAGTTCTACAGAATTTAGAATGCTGACAAATTATTGTGACCATGATAGCTTGCAAAATGGACCTGAAGGGCTTGTGCAAAACATAATAAAACCCTAGTCCACTTAAACAACAATAAAAAGACAAAGGTAAAATTTCCAAAGTGTTAGAGAATGTACAAAAAATTTACAAGGAGCCCAGCATGCTGGTGCACACCTGCAGTCTCAGCTAGTCCTGAGGCTAAGGCAAGAGGATGACAAGTTCAGGGACAATCTTGGCAATATGGACCCCATCTCAAAATAAAAAATGAGTGAACAAAAAGGGATGCAGAGATAGCTCAGCACTCCCTAAGTTCAGTGCCACGTACATACACACACACACACACACACACTCCCTAAAAGAACGTCCCTATTTAAACTGAATTTAGTACAGCAGTCCTCCTGGTCTGGTTTTGTTTCGGTGGTTTCACTTAGCTGTGATCAACAGTGGCCCAAAATATTAAATGGGAAATGCCTCAAAAAGCAATTCTTCAGCTTTAAATTGCACACTATTCTAAGTAGCATGATGGAATCTCATGCTATCCAGCTGTGTCCTACCCAGTACACAGGTCATTCCTTTGTCTCCTGTACCCATGCTTAACATACTATCAGTTTGTCACTTGGTAGCCATGCTGGTTGTCGGACTGGTTGTTGTGGTTCTGCACTATCCGTGTCCAAGTAACTCTTTAACAGTCTCCCCAAAGCTAACAGTGGTGATGCAGGCAATTCAGATGTGCCAAAAAAAAAAAAGCCAGAAGGTGATTTAAGTAAAATGGTGAAAGTTCTTAAGACGGTTGTATACTGAGGCTGCTAAATCTATAGTAAGAACGAGTCTATCTGTGAATTTGTGGCAAAGGAGAATAGAAATTTGGGCTAGTATCACTGCTGCACCTGAAATGGCAAGTTACAGCAACACTGTGTGGTAAGTGCCCTGCAGGACTCCAGACCTCTCCTGTTCCAAGGGGGATACTGGTCTAAGATTCCCAACAGCCAAGTGGGCTATGAAATAGTGTTTTAAGTCTTCAGTAATAAAAATAATCATGCTGGATCATTAGATGAGGCAACTTTCGCCTGGCTCTAAAAAGAATGTGTTGCATGCGTTCATATAAATAGAAAATGTAGTCATGTCTTACGCTGGACCATAAGAGAAGCTGAAGATGTCAGGTCATAATTCCCAAAAGTGTGCAGAGGGCTAATGCCATCCTTCAGAGCTCAATGTGAACATCACCTCCACCAGAAATCCTTCCTGGACACAGTCCAGGCACCTACTCTCAAGGTGAGCTACTCCTGTGTCAAGCTCCAAGAGGTCACTTCACCCAGGCTTGGCACCTGCTACGCCAGCTTGTGTCTGCCACGAGGACCAGCAATCGGAAGACAGGCTTGTTTTCCTTCCCTATGCTGGGCACCCTGCTGCACTCCAAGGCTCTTAGTTACAGGAGAGAATCATGAGGCAGAAACGCCAATTTTCCTTAGAGTGTCAGCTCCCACAGGCCAGGCCGTGGCCTGTCACAATTGCATGTAGTGGGGCTGGGGATTTAGCTCAGCGGCAAAAGCGCCTGCCTGGCAAGCACAAGGTCGTGAGTTCGGTTCCCAGTACCGGAGAAAAACCAAAAAAAAAAACAACAACAACAACAAAAAAAAAACAACAATTGCATGTAGTCCTGCTGCTGCAGGACAAGCAGCAACAGTACAGCCAAAGCCACCACCCTGTCCTGCAACCCATGGGTCCTGCTCTGGCCAGGTAGAGACCCAGCACCTCCAGCTGCCTCTTAGATGAAGCTACTGCTTCTGAGGAGATGCCAACAATGGGCCATGGGAAGCTCTGGAGCCTGGGTCTTCTTTGCCTGAGCACAAGACTGTCACTAGGGCAGCAGCAACCAGTGACTTCCAGGCACCACATCTCAGTTCCAGCAGAGGGATTCGTCCTTCAACACTCCCCTGAGGAACACAGCAAAGTGGTGCTCCTGCAGACAATCCACAAACATGGCCCCTTCCACAACAAGGAAGGCCATCTATAGCTGCACAAGTCTTCATCAGCAGTGTTACAGGTGACTCTGGGGACCACATCCCTCCCCAAGTGTGCTCAGTCCTACCCATTCAGCCGCCAGACGCACTCTGCCCTGCGCCCCTGCAGCCCATGCCAAGGACGCGATCACTGACCACTCAGCCTCCCCTGTGCCTGGGCTCTCGAAGCAGGCCATCTCCAAACTTGGCCCCTGGGCCCCTGGGGACTGATCCCAGGTGCCCCGGACGAGGAGGACTGGGAGAGCAGGGCCTTCCCCACCCCCAGTCAGCTGAGACAGCTACTTCTGTCATATGCTCTACGGTGGGTATGTGTGCCCTGGCAGTCTTGGGCCAACCTCCTCCCCCTCTCCCAGTCACCTATATGCCAAGTGCTTCTTCCTCCAACCTTTTACGTTTCCTCACTGCCCCCCCGAGCCTCACCTGCACCATGACCATTGCAGTCTGTGAGCCCTGAAGCTCTGGCTTGAAGCCACCAGCAATCTCTGGCCACAGGCTCAACAGGGTCCTGAATGTGTCAAAAGAGCTGGGCCTTTTCTTCTGTAGGCAATGGAGAGACAATGCCATCACTGATGTGGCTCCACTCTAGGAAGCTCCCGTGAGGCATGGTGACAAGGCAATCAAAATGAGGCCAAGTTGGAAACAAGAGCACAGCGAAAAGCCACTGACAGCTGCCCAAGCAGAACCACCCTGCTCCACACTGCGCTCGCGGCATAGGCTGGCCCAGTGCGTATTCGGTACTTTACCTCCATCTCCTGAAGTAGCTATTTTCCCTCCCAAAGAAGACAGAAATGGGAACGCGAAAGCTCCAAGGGCACACCTTCCTACCACGTCCCCCTGGCTGAGGGATTCAGACCCCCAGGCACACCCTACAATTCTGCCTCCGAGTTTTGCATTTCTCAAACTTAAGGATTATGATATGACAAACCACAGGCTGAGTTTCAAAAGGGCCTGCTTTTGTTCCTGCCTGCCGCAGAGCGGCTCCATGTCCTACAAGCCAGGCTTGGCCTGGTGAGGACAGAGACTTCTCTCCAAGGATACCTACCCCAGGGAGGAGATGTGAACTGTGGGCAGAAGCCAGGCCCTGCTCATGGGGTTAACTTGGTTCCTTTCTTTGTGCTGTCCCCAGAGGCAACAGGGCAATAGCCACAGCATGGAAAGCAAGGAGGTCCTCGCCCCGCTGGCGGACACAGGGCACAGTGAACTCTGCCATGGGAATGACAGTTTCAAGGCTCCCGAGAGTACACTGGGAATGGCGCTGGAGCAGAGGATGACGCAAGGACCCTGGGACACAGCCCACCCGTCTAGCCCCTCCACTGCGAGCGTCCTGTCTCCGCCTAGAGAGAGCTGACAGAGCCATCTGTCCCGCCCTCACAGGCACCTACTCTGAGCATGCACGTCCCTCCCCCGGGCTGTCCTGAGGCACACAGGTACTGGAAACACATCACATGTGGACATCAGAGCACAGTGACGACGGAGAAGGAGCCCGAGCGTCAGTGCCCAAGGAGGGGACCAACACCAGTGAGCTGCGGAGACCGCTGCAAGCAGAGCCCTGGCCTGGCCGCCCACACACCTCTTCCCCCGGGAGGTGGTCAGGAAGTTTTCTTCTCTCTCCTCTCTGCATGCGTGTGCTTGTGTGTGTGTCACTAAGGACTGAACCCAGGGCCTTCGCACTGAGCTACATCCCCACCTTTATATTTTTTATTTCAATACAGGGTCTTGCCAAGTCGCCTGAGTGGAACTCAGCCTCCCAAAGTGTTGGCATCACAGGTGTGCACCACCACACCTGGCTTCACTGAATGTTTAAGCCTTAGTTTCCCTGTGCAGTGATCTGACACGTGGGGTCAGGGTGGAGGCAGGGAGGAGATAAAGGACATGTAAAGCACCTACAACAGGGTCGGGTTTGACAGACTGAAAATGGTAGCTAACATGGTGCTGGTATTCTTGCCATCACATGGATGGAGATGAGATCCACACAGCTGAGAGGGCAGCTGAGCAGAGCCCACATCTGGCCCCAAGTCTGCCACAACAACGATGTAAAAGGCTCCCACCCTCCCCAGGGACACGCAGGCTTGTCACCCACATACCCCTATGGCAGCTCAGAAAACATGGTTCCAGTTAGGGTTCGACACACGTGTTCAGAGGTGGGGACTTTGTTAGGGGGTTCTGGTGAGGTTTTTGGGGGGTGATCCCACGGGTTGACCCCAGAGTCTTGTGTGTGCGAGGCGAGCAAGCTGCCACCGAGCTACGTCCCAGCCCAAGGAGGGGCTGTGGGAAGGTGACTGGATCATGGGTCAATGGATTCACCCACGATGAGGTCATAGCTGGATACGCGGCTGACAAGGCCCAGGACAGGAAGGCAGCCACTGGCGGTGAGCCCTTGAAGGGTGTGTTTCTCTGGCCGCCATCTGCTCTCTGCCTCGGCCACCCTGGAGGGGAACAGATTTCCTCGCCATGATGGTCCTGCCCTGACCAACCAACCACACGCTGAGCTCTGACACCAGGAGCCAAAGTAACCCTTCTCTCTTCGACGATGCTGTGTATGTTGGTATTTTGTCCAGTGCTGGCTCTATCTAGACTTGGGCTGCAGACTGACCATAAGGAGTATGGCTCAACCCAGCAGCCCAGCCAAGGCCCACAGACCGGTAAAAATCAAGTCTTTTAGACCCTCTACTCCTGAGGGCCAGGCCTCCTTGTGGTCTTCAGACCACACAGTCTCACCTACACTCAGCACTGCCCTCCTGGCTACACACAGCTCACAGGAAGGACAGGCAAGGATGGCTTTCACTGCATGAGCGCTCACTTCAGACACCGCTTCCTGTTTTGACAGCCAGGGCACCCAGGTGGCTTCAGAAGGTCCAGAGAATGTAGGCTACCTTTTGGGGATGCTACCTTAAGCTTGATATACATAAAAATCACAAGCCACAGGACGAGGACACTGCTTCCACTCACAGAGCACCCCTCCACTGGGCCACATGAGCCTGGACGGAGCGAGGACAGCTGGGCCTGCAGAGGGGAAGCGTGGACAGAGGCTGGCTTGAGGGCAGGGAGGCTCTGAGTGGAGGACCTGCCTAAGCAGGGTCAGCCCGCACCCTCTGCTGCCACAGCCACACTGCGGAGCCATCCACACAGCCAGGGCCTGCCGGCCACATGGACCCAGGCCTCATGCAGAGGAGGAAGGAGAAAAAGTCCTGGAACCTGCCTCACCTGCCTTACTTCTCCAGCGTAAGACGCTAGACAAGGCTGGCCAGCTGTGGTAGAGGAGAGACCATGCCTGCCTGCCTGCCTGCCCGGGCCATGTGCCTCCTCTGAGGAGATCAGTGTGCTCAGCGGGCCACCTGCTCTGGGGGTGCAGGGAGCCTCAGGGACCCGGCAGGTGCAGGGACCTAACCACAGCTGTTTCTTAACTGAGCAGTAAAAAAAAGTTTCCACTGCCTGAGACTACTGGTCATGAAAAGACGTGTTTTTCCTGTTGCTGTTTGCTAGCTTATTTCTGGGGCAGGGATGCTGGAAGCACGTTTTGCCCCGGGAGCCATAGCTCAGCTCCAAGTCCTGCCTGCTGGCCCACCCATGTTCTTGCCTTCTCTGTGTTGTCTACTGGAAAATTCTGGGGTCATGCTGCCTGGCAAAGTCATTCACACACATTACATCCCAAAAGGAGGAGTGGGGCAGTAGTTATTGCTCAATGTGTATATCGCTCCAGGGCGAGGCCACTTACTTCGTGGCCTGTGGGCATCAGAACAGGTGGACTAGAAACTGGTTTCCACTAAGTCCCTCCTTGTGGCTCATGTGCCCCTTCCAGTGGGCACCAGCTATGAGAACTGCCGGGCTTCCTCCCCCAGATGCCCCAGGCTTGCAGTATGGTCTGCAGAAACTGAGTCAGGGGATCGGCAGCCCACGAGCAAGGCTGACTCGAAGCTCGAAGACCTGATGCCCCCTCACACAGATAGGGAGACACCCAAAGCCAGAGCTGTGGGGATGAGGGGTAAGACAGCTCCAGGTGTGAGCTCCGCTGGTGAGGATGGAGGAGCTAGCAGGACTGGCCTAAGCAGTTTCCCCAAAGCTTCTGGAGAATTTGCCCTGCAGCACTCCTGGGGGTGGGTAGGGATGGGGCACCGTGCTGGCGATGAGATGCCCGCACCACCGGGAGGGAAGAAGCACTATTACAGCCTCACTAACCCCAGTGAAAGTGATATAGTTGCAGAGGGCATTACAGCTCCAGAGATCCCACAGCACAGCAAAGCTTCACAAGCACTCCCCATCCCATCAGTAATTCATCAGCACAAGGGCTGTTAGAAAAGAGTAGTACAGCACTAGCCCCAGGGGTCACAAGGCCCGAAGTGTGGCTAATCCAAACTACGGTGGGCAGGCAATGTTACCTATGTGCTGATTTCAAAGGCTTAGTAGCAAAACGCTGAAAACATTTAAATGTGGAAATGATGAATACATAGGGTTTAATAAAGTTTTACAATTAATTTTAGCTGTTTATGTTTTAACAAGGCTACTAAACATTTTAAATTACATATACGGATCATATCTTTCTATCAGGTAATGCTAAACTAGAAAATGCTAAGTAACATTGTGGGTTTAGAAACTTCAAACATTTCTTATTATCTTAGTTTCTGTACCAAATTTGTTCTTTCATCTGAAATAAGTGTTCCAACGCACCAAACTTGGGAATGAGTTCACCATGAGCAAGCCACGGGGCACCCTGACCAGCACTCCAACACTGTGTCATTAAAACAGCACCAAGGGACGAGGGGGAGATGTTTCTTGCAAGGGACACGCCTCACCTTTTGGTCAAGAGTCACTTAGACATTCCTGCCACTGGCCACATCTGGGAGCTGCCCCTAAGCCTTATGCTGACGCTTAAGTCTGACTCTCAGTGGCTGAAGTCCCCGCATGCATACAGGACGGGAAGACGACTCTCCTGCACAGCCACCACCAGGGTGCTCCTGCCCACCAGCCAGGGGCCTATAGCTTCCCTCACATACCTCAGCCCACTCCCCCAGAGGGAAGGAGAGATGTGATTTCTGAGAAGCACTGGCCCCGGCCGGGGAAATCAGTTACTCTTCAACCCACTGTTCACTCTCAGAAGAGAGCTGGGGATGTTACCAGGGAGAACCCGGATGTGAAGGCACAAGCACCCTCTGGCGCTTTCTGAGTTCTCCAACGGCACCAGAGGCTCACAAAGGTACCTGGCCGCCAGCACCAGGAAACACTCCTTTCCAAATCCCTCTGCTCTCGGGCTTCCACGCCCTCCGCCCTAAGGCAGGCGGGATGCCTAAAACTGGGAGGCTACGTGCTATAACTGTAAAGCACGTACAATTCTAACAAGCTCATCTGGATGGTGATGGGAAGGGGCTTCTTCTCTGCTTCCTCCACAAACGCTCACTCCCACAAGTTTCCAAGTCGAGCGGCTACTGTGCTGGGTTTCCAGGCATGGGAAAGAGCAAGCTGTAGACACCCACGTCTTCGGCCACTTCGCGGTGTCTCAGGGCCCCCAAGAGAGCTTCAGCCCTGCCATCGTCACCCTCCCCCTGCTTACTAGGACCCCATTCCTGTGCCTTGCCCACCTTGAACGCTCG